CTTTTCATTTGTTATGGCTTTGCGCCAGCCCCTCCACCGCAGTCTCCATTAGAGCCAGATAACGTATAAATTCATTAAAGTCAAAGAGGAACATTAAAATGGCCATTTGTCAGGTCTCTCTTTGTGTGTCCCTAATGGTGGCACATGGTTCAAGGCATTGAGATGATTTTGGTTGGCTTTTTTCCCCACTCATAGCAGGGACGTGGGAACGGGGGGGGCAGACGTGTTTTGTACATGAAAACATTCCCAATTGAACTGTGATGCTTTCTTTATTTTTCCATTGTTATAAAATATTTCCTTATAGTAGGGACATAGTAATCAGGATCTTTGATGCCAAAAGCCCATTGTTATTTTGTAATTGTCCCAAATTACCCTAACTTTATATTTTTTTGCCTGCTGTATGGCTCATTTCATTTGCCTAATTGCAGAAACAGTTTTAGTTTGGTGGTCATCCAAATCCATCCATCAACCTCTAAGTCCTCGGCCAACCCAACCCTCCCCAACAAACAAATACAAACTCTCAGTCAATGGAGCAACCCTTAGCACTAATGCCTTTGTATTCAGATCACCATTCCTTCTAAACAATTTCTGAAAACTAATACCAAACACAGCTTTGCAAACCTGGACCACCTGCTTGCTGGACAGCAACAAGTCTAACATCAACACAGCAACAGACAGTCCTGAGTCATTCGAAGGAGAACAATAATAAAATAGATAAGATATTTGTCTTTTTTTCCAAAATTTTATCCAAAATATCCCCTCCCCCCTCTGTCCATCTCTCGTTTGTTCTTCCAGGACAGAAGTTCTGGCTCCTGTCCTCGGTGAAGGCTCGCTCCATCTGCCTGTGCTGCCATTAGCTCATCTCCATCATGCTTTATCAGAAGAAGCCTCACCTCCCCACACACACACACACACACACACCGTCCTGGACCCTCTCCACCGTGCTGACAACCCCTGCCCCCTGCTCTACACATGAGCCTGAGATGATAAGTGTTCTCCCTCTTTGTGTTGGCCTGCATAAGACAATGCCACACAGCACTACAGAACATCATCCATCTCATAGGTCATCAATCTGAGACACAAAAGATGAAATGTGGCTCAAACTCCCTTTTTACAAAAGGGAGGGTTGAGGGGGGTGTGTCTCTTTGCTCAGAAAAAAAAAACTCGTTCACCACCTCTGTTGCTCTTTTTCACTAATAGAGACTCAGCAAGTCAGCAAGAAATCCTTTTATGTCTTTGTGTCCACGTGGGAGGGAATTATAGATGCAATTACACACAAATGCAAGACATATACCAATGTATTATTTAGGCCAAAAAAGATAACCCAACTTCACTGAAAAAGACAAATTTTTATTGGGAAAGCCAAAAGTCCAGTGTAATTCTTTTTGCCAGTATTTACATTAAAAGCCACATGCAACATATAACATGAGCTGCCCATTGTTTCTCCTCTTTGCCTAATTAGGTTTACATTGCCTGATCACCAGTGGGAGGTTTCTGAGGTTTGTTCATTGTCTGCAGCAGCATTGTCCTAACCCTAACCCTAACCTCTAACCCTAACCCTAACCCTAATTGTCAATGCGAAACTACATGTTAAGCCTCTGAAATTACCTTTAATGAAAGGTATGATCCATGTACAAATAAGTACTCTTAGAAAAAGAGTCTAAAAATGAAAAACAATTTTAAGACTAGTGCAGTTACTCTCTACCTAAAACATCTATTAACAGCCAGCCTAACATAATGGCCCAGCTGCCATACAGCTGGGTTCAATTAGACTTAGCTAAATCATTATATAAATTATATTTAATTTCCATTGTCTGAAAGGTAATGTATAGCCCCCACTTGATTTCCTGGTTAGCTAAAGGCTAATGCATTCCAACATATTTACAAGTAATTATGAGGTAATGGATATTTTACTGCAAATGTAACTTCAACAATGTTGTTCTGCTACACAGTGAAATTTTGAGACAGATTTGTGCCCATTAAACTGATTTCCACTGAATTCAGACGCTACTTATCTACAGTATAAATAAACAAACAAACAAACTGTGTCAACTCTATGTTACTGTAAACATTTCTGTCACAATCTCTGGTATAACAGTAAAACTCATATTTAACTGTGACATTCCACCTTAATTGACCATTAACACTATGCATCAACCCCCAAAAATACTACATTTGTAGTTTTTTTTTTTAATTGTCAACAGGGCCAGTAATCCATGTCATGCAAACATTTGCTTGACCATTTGCTTGACCATTGTGCCATCATATCAGGTCAACCTGTTAATCTGCTGTCTGTGTCTAGGTCTGTGGGGCTTAAGACACAATCAATATGATGAGCGCTGATCTGTGCAGGCTATTACCGCAACACCATTGTCAGCAATGCTTGCATTGTTATTACCATCAGACCAAGGCTGACACACTCTAATGTTTGTTTGTTTGTTTTTTCACACACGTGGACCTTGTATGACACTTTGACTGTGAGCAGAAGCATTGTGTCTGCAATGGTGAATAATCACTCTGTCGTTTTGGGCATGAAGACAATAAAAAAAACATGCACGGCACTAAGCAGGGACTCGTGAGAATAGATTGTATACATCAGCTGATTAGGCTTTATTTTACAGGTGCGGTGTAAGACTTCAGACAGATGGTTGAGCTCTGGTAGTCTTTGTTTAAGTTGTAAGAGAACAGGGGCATGGTCGTTGAGGGGAGGGCTAAACCACTCCAGCACGGAATCTACCAGACCACCTCAGGTTAATCTCACTCTGACCCGAAATGTCCATGAAGGATTAGGCCCATGTGTACACCTGCCACTGATTTTTAGCATAAAATGTCACTAACCGGTGTAACCAAAGCAATTTAAAAACACAAAAGTCTCACAACTTTATCTTGGATTTCTTCCAGGTAACTGGAAAGTACTTGATTTGAACATGGAAAATGGAGCAGTGCGTGTACAGTGTGTGTACACTGTACACTCAAAATGCAGGTCTCTGTGACTCTGTGCAGTCACTGGAGTTCAAAAACATTTACCTTTGAACACCAAATATTTAGACAGCACCAACTGAAGTTATTTTACTATAGTGACACATAGTTCAAGATACAATGTTTTATGCATCTTAATTATAAAATATAGATGTCCATGTGCTTTGCACATATGGTTTATTTACTAGTACTCATAGGTTTCACCTTGCAAAAGTACCATGTTGGCCTAAATTGGTTGCGAACCGGATGATATTTGCTCTTTCCTCTACCAGAAGTAACACATTCGTTCTGCACAAGACATGAGATCCATGGAAGACTCCATTCATCACCATCCACCTACAGTACAACAACTCCTTATGCTGTTTATACTCTGAGGACCAAATGTTTCAGTTTGATTTGCACATGGCTGTGTTCTACATCTACAGTACAGACCTTTTGATACTGTTGTATAAAAAAACTATTTAACAATTTAAAGGATTAGTGTTAGGGTTAGCTAGAAACTCAGCAATAAGACACATTCCCCAACATTCTTGAAATACAGGATAGAAGCTTTAAAAAAAATAGAAGAGTAAAAGGATTTGAAGGATTTGTACACTGATATTCATCCATCTACATTTTCATATATGTGACTCTCAAACTCCCGCATGACTACCACAAGGTCCACTGACCCATGTGACAGTAACATGTGAATGATCCAACGTTGCCTGCAGCTACAAAACTCCCAGTGGAATAAACAAAACACTATGAGTAAGAACTGGAACAAGTGACCTGACAATATTCATTTTCAGTGGTGAAGTCATATCAAGCGTTATTGCGTTCATATATCACAATATTTTCTATTTCATGATAAACAATCCACAACATGGGTGTAATATTATCAGAAAATCAAGATTAATTAATATATTATATTATTAGTCACATAAGGACTACCATATTATTGTTGCATATCAATAATATATAACTGTATTATTATATATTTTGATGTACAATAGGAAAACCTGCATGTCTAAATAGCTTATAGTCAATGGTAACTGTATTTTATGTAGTTGGTGCATGTGCTTTTCCTATCAACAACATCATACATCTGCTGCTGGAAATATTCTGTTGTGTTTCTGGGTCACAAAAAACAAACCTCTGTATTAGGTCACCCTCACTGTAAACAGACATGTAACCAATGAGCCAGTAATGACTGAAAAGCCAGTCATTACTGACAACACTATTAATGGCAGTGTTGACTCGAAGTAGCATTGACAGTAACGCATACTTTTAACATTGATGGTATAAAATCAGATATCTGCTTCAAGATGATCACATGTGCCAGAAAATGCATTAACTGTTGCCTCACTCTATGGCAGAGTGAGGCTATGCTAAGTATGCTAATATTGTTTGTTAGGTGATGGCTGCCTTACATCATCGAGACAACACCGCACATTGAGGCTTTGTCAAGAAGATGCCATTTTATTGGTGTCTGCCTATGTAGTTGGAGTCAGAAGAGAAAGTGATGAAAGAAAACTAGCCATTTCCCTATTCTGCCATTTCAATGGGGTGCTGTTGTAGCTTAATGTATTTTATATGTAGGAGTATTTTCTTGTATTGGATGGTTCCATAGGAGTCTCTTGATGTAAATAGAAAAAGGTCACAAAAGGCGGAGATAAAAGGATATTTTAGAATTTAGAACTACACTTCCAAAGTATATTATGAAGATAATTTGTTGATAAATGTCAGACCAAAAGATCAAATATTCCAAAACTATTTTTAAATATTACTAATTCGTGCGTGTAAAACGTTCCCGTTGTGCTTTACTTTTCCGCCTCCCTGTGGTCAGGGTAAGTAGTACAAGTTGCATAAAACGTTGTGTGTGTTGTTGGTCCCTCGGAGGCACCCGTAGATTTACGGTTACTTAGACGTGTATCTTTCTGTCAAACGGAAGTTCTCCATTCTGCCAGATGAAACACTGACTGTACTACAAGCTTAGTAAGAATTGCTACGTACGGATTATTTACTAATGAATTCAATCGAGGATGTCATCGGCTTTAACGTTAGACATGGAAAACCCGCATCAATACACAATGATGGACGGTGAAACAGGAAACATCTCCATCGACCAGGGGGGAGAGTGGGGTAAGTGTCGGTTAAATACATGTTCTAGAAACATAACAAAAGCAGCTTTAAAGTGGCAATTTATTAAGTGTTTAATATACGTTATTATATCGCCCTTAATAAAAAATGTTAATGTGTATTTTTCTGGACCATACACCTGTATAAAAGTAATGTGGCGAGAGTGTTTTCGTGCGTTGTAGCCTATTAGCATTAGCAGTTAGTAAGTGATGTAACCTTCTGAAACAGGTAAACAAACGCTTCAGCTTTAGGAAATAAAGCTTTTAAAAAGGTATTGTTAATATTTTTACTTCATATGGTTTTTGTCCAATTTATTACATAAATTTAACTTGTGATCATGTACTCAATAGTAGTGAAGTATACCGACTATATTATTAAGCAAATTTTATTTTTATTTCCCAAGCACCTGAAAATGGTGAAAATTATAAAAAAAAAAAAAACTATTTTTTATTAAATCGCAGTTTAAGCTTTTTTACTCCTTGTCATAACTATCTAACTTAACAAGCATATAACGTTTAGCTACAAGTCAGTAAATTGTGTTTAGGTATTAATTCTAACATCCTTGAAGCAAATAAGGTTTATATTTCAAAATACCTCCCACAAACTCTAAGTTTTGGTTGAAGTAGTCACTTGTATGTTTTATTGCAAAAACAAAGTATTTTACTCTTATTATAAAATAATAATGGTTAATACACACCAGAGAGGAGAAAGTTGATTGTGGCTGAATAATAAAGCAGTTTTAATATTTCAGTCAGAGGCAGACCTTACTGATTCCACAAACTGTAGTCAAACCAGTGTCATGTTTTTTGTTTTAAAGTTTTTTTTTTTTTGTTTTTTTTTTGTTTAATGAAAATTCACTTTGGAATTACTTTTTTCTAAACCCATGTAAATTCATGTAAAGCGTGATATGGATGAACTAAATCTGTGTATCATGTTCGGGTTGTGAAACAGACATAAGCCTGTTCGATGAGTTGGACAACCTCGGAGATGCAGATGAGCTGCTTGAAGCCTTACAGAATGCTTATTATGTAAGTAACATGGAATTGGTGTAACAGGAAATTTAAAAGGACTGGAATATAGATACAAAATGCATTTTAATCAAAGTCAGTAAAATATTAAGATTTGTTAGATGGATTTTGTATTTGTCCAGTTTGTTTAAACGCTTTAATAAATGGTATCAGTTTTTGCTACATTTATACTCATTTAAGCATCGTAAACTATGAATATTTTACTTAACAGCAACTATGTGTCTGTGTGTGTTGAATTGGGCCGGTGTTTTCTCAGGCCAATGAGGGTCCAGATTTAAACTTTGATATTGATATCGCTCCATGGAGTGATGTGGACACGAGCAGCACCTGCACAGGTATGTTGACAAACTTTCGCAATTTTTTATACTGCAATTCAGTTTTTCCCCTTAATTTTGCATCATTTGATCAAATGACTAACAGCCGTTTGTACATAAGACTGTGTATAAAGTAACACAAGTAACTTATTTATTAAATTATACCCTGGTAATTATTTTTTACTAAAATGAAATTTGGCAATATCATGCTGTACGTAAGTACCTATGCCACTCACCAACCGGCAAATGTGATGCGTATAGCGCTGAGTGACGATGTATTTGTCCACTCCACATCGACTAGTTCCTGTACATAATTTGTTTGAATGCCCTATGTCGGAATAATGCAACAAGATTTTTTCTTAACAAATTCATGGGAGATGGCAACGCAACAACAAAACAAAAAAGGACGTCATAAGCCCAGGACACCCTGTAAATACCTGATATGACCACCACAAGTCATAATGTCTGCTGCTCTATTGTTACAATATTTGAATGTCTTTTTTGCATCCTCAGGCAGTTATTGTGATGAAAATCAAGTTTAAACAAATCTAATGTAACATAATGCTGATGAAGTTTAAAAATGCGAAACCTCAGAATGTCACCCTTTGTCAACCTGACACATAAACAAACACCCTCAACTATGAATGTTTATCCCTACGCCCAAATCTCTCCCTTGTCTGGTTAAATGTAAACAACATTAAGCCGAGTTGAGCTGAGTTCCATTGTCCAACTATCCCTGTAAAAACTCTACAGTGAAACGTAATCACGTGTTTCCTTGGACTTTTCTACCTCGAGAACTGTCATGCAGCATGAGAACAGTGTCATAAAGCAACATTGTTAGGACCTTGAGACCTTGCCACTCAATAAAATACAAAAATAAATCCTTAAAGTGTATTGCATTTATTCAGAAAAGAAAAAGTGACATTTTAATAAAAACAAGAAGGAAAAGTAACTTATGTCAAAGATTCTTTTTACATCTTTGACATAAGTTGTATTATGTCAAAAATGTACTATAATAAAATTACATATTTTTTCTTGAGTAGATGTTACATTACCATAATGAATACTCTTTGTGAAAGTCATTAGAAAGTGTTGCAATGTCAGGACTGTTTCTCCTGCCATGTGTTGCCATGGTGGTTTATCCTGGTATGTGTCTTTGTCTTTGTGTTACCAGATGGTGAGGTGAGTGTGGACTCTCTGTCACCTGCCCACACTCTGAGCTCTGTCCCATCTCCTGCCTCAGTGGAACCTCTTTCTCCTTATTCTTTACACGTGAGTCACTACCTTGACTGTCTATGTCCCCCTGTGGTTTGGTTGTTTGACTTGCATTTCCAATTTAAATTTTACCTTTGCAATTATTTGTGGGTATTTACATACAGATTGCATCCACCTCAGTGCATCTTTAGAACAAATACTGTCTCCTCTATCCAGGTGGTGTTTAAACATTGACAGCTGCTCTGTGTGTGTACACACACACACACACTTCACACACCTACACCCAGAGCCCTTACTAATAAAATCCTAAACACCTTGTCAAACTAATAATTTGTTGTCAGTCAAAGCTGGGCCTTTCCCCTCATTAAACATGAGGTGCTGACAACTTTAGCCACATTAGCATAATTTAGCAGGCAGATGTTTTCACAGTGTGTCAAAATAAGGCTAAAGGTTGCACTTTTTTTTTCAACCCTCATGTTGTTTGCACACATTTTACTGCTTACATAATCGACCTGTCTAAATTCAAGGTTGCTTTTTGCCTTTTTTTTAAAGATGTTGAATCCTGTTCATTTAAAAACAACAGTGCTAACTGCCTGAAATAAACAATATAGAAACCCACTCTAGAAATATCTAAATCTCTGTACAGGATGAAGCTCTGTTACTACAGTCGCAGACTTCCCCTTTGTCGGTCTGCTCCGAGTCCAGTGGCTTTTCTGAGATATCTTCACCATCTAAGATAGCTCCAAAGAGGACCAGCCAGAACACACGAGGTAAACTAGCAACACTCATCAGCCTTAAAAAAAAGTTATGCAAAGTTGTATGCAAATACAATGACAAATAAAGACACCTTGAAACAAGCATTCCACACACAAGTCTTATTTTAAAAAAGTAATGCTTTCTCTTTTTTTCCATCTGGCTTTCTGTTCACCAGCCAAACCATCTCAGCCTGTAAAGAGGCCCATCCATGTCGGACCCAAAGTTTTAATCCAGCCCAAACCGCTGATCACAGCTGTGCCACTGGCACCTCCAACGGCTTCTCTGCAGGCCAAGACCTTCATCATCCAGCCCCTGCAGACCACTGTGCTGCCTGTGGTCAAACCGGCTCCTGTGAACATTCAGCCAGCGCCCCCACCAGGTCAGAGTTTACACTGCAACGTGATCCAACCTTGTCGTGAATCATAGATTGCTGTTTTTGAGTTCAACATATTAGTAAGCAGCGTAATTAATGTTTGACTTATTCATCTTTTTTGTCTTATGCAGTCTTAGGGCGGTTTAGAGTTTTAATTATTTAAGATTGACACTTTTACTCGAGCAGTCATTTTTACCAGCAGAGGGCGTTCTAACCTAAATAGTATTTGCTCAGTTTTACTAATAGACAACATGGACACATTTTAGAATAGTTAAAAATGCATTAATAGTCATTAATATGTCTTTATTTAATTTTAGGTTTATGATCAAAAGTTAGGTCAGGCTTTAATCACGACCTCCTGTGGGTTTAATACATCAAAGTCTGCATCACTGCGATTTATCACTGTGGTCCTTTTTTTCCCTTGTTTGTTACATCAGCAGCACCTCTGCCAGTGTAAATAGTTGAGTCATTGCCTGAAAACCCTGAGGGTGGAGCATGTGACCTCTCTTGACTTGAGTTTGAACTTGGTTCTTCTTTCTCTCTGGTAAAAGCCAAGATGGCAGATGTATAAAGGCATTGTTATCCAGGCCTGGTCAGTGTTAGCAGTTTCAGTAGGTTTCGAGGATTTGCCCAGTATCCACAGCTGATGACTGAGAACAACACACCAGAGAGTCGTGAGGAGTCAGAAACACTCACTGAAGAGTTCTTCACAAAGCCTGACCAACAAAGATGTCAGTCGCTATGAAAAGCCAAACTGTGTAGAACAGACTGTGGGAAACTAAGGGCCTAAATTGTGCAATACTATTAAAACCTTGTAAATACGTTTCCTACATATACACAGAATATAATTTTATGTTCAAATATTTTGCAAGTTTCTGTTTCTGTTCTAGTTACATTTACCCCTCTCCATATGTGCATGTTTATGCATTCATGTGCACAGGTCAACATGTTAAACATCCTCTCCACCTGTACATTAAAATTAAAAAGGCTCCTAAAAGACAAAGGGTTAATTGAGGTCACCAAAGCTGATGACCATTCAAGGCACTGAACTGTAGCGTCTGCAGCTGGTGGCTCTCTCAACATGATGCTGACACAGCTTAATCAAAGTCTTAGTGTTTTTGTCAGAGAAAGTGGAAAATATGGGATGAGGATTGGCTCGTAAACAGCAGGTTAGGCTAAAAGACAGCAGTAATCACAGTAGTAATCAGTGGATTACGGTGTGATGATAGTTTTGCTCATTCCACGATTAGATAGTTCTAATGTGTTTTCTGCCTGTGTCAGGTCGTCCTATAGTGCTGTCTCAGCCAAGTCAAGTGCTGCAGATTCAGACGCCCCACGCCATCAAGAACAATGTGGTCACCCTACCAACACTGAGTCAGGACAGGCCTGTCCCTGTTTCTGTCCCTGTCGCTGCCCCACCAGTGATGTCTGTCACACTACGAACACCATCATCGGATGATGACGTGAGTTCCTTTTGTTTTTCTGCTGGATAATCACATACTCAAGATATAACAGATGTATTAGTTGTGTTTATATTTGAATGAAAACTGATGTGTGGGGAAAAAAACATTTTCTAGTGTTTGTATGGAATTTTGACATTTTGTCAAACACATGTTCTTATTTGTACTTTTAAGTAAAACACTCAAACTTTTAGAAAATAAATAGAACATGTTTTCAAATATTTTCTCATCAGTTAAGGTAAACACAAAAATTTGGACATTACCTACATTTGGTACAAGATGGGCAACAGATTCTTTTTTACATTTTTAAATTGTTAAAATGCTACATTATGCTTAATTTCTTTGACACATGCATAACTGTATGACCAGGCTTTTGTTAACAGAAGGAAGAGGGTAAAAGTAAAAGATGTAAAAAATATATAATTTAATAGATATAAACAATTTAGAAACAGTGAGGCTGAAGTTTGCAAAACAAGGGAAAAATTGGTCAGAACATAGCTAGTTTAACCACAGAGTAGCTCATAAGCAAATCCCAGAATTTTAAATACAAACAAGCTAATTGTTTTAAATTGATCCACTTGTTGGAACATTTTGAAAATGTGATGTTTTGAAATGTGTTTAAACCTTGGATAATTAGAAGAAGAAGAAGAATCACTTTAAGCTTTTCCTTGTTTTCCTTGGCTGTTGATCTTCCACGGTACACCTAACATTCTCTTGTGGCACACTACTGTATCATGGCCACAGTGGATGGGGATTACTGACTTAGAGGAACAGTATATCTGCCTGTTCTCCTCTTGTCCTTTTAACCTTTGAAGTCAGTTATCATATTCACAGGGACAAATCACACCCTCACCTGTTGTGTTTGTGCAGTGTGGTCCTGTAAGGACTTGTGTTTGTGCATTTACATGCAGAAAGGATTATTAAATGCCCTGAGCAATCTACTGTACGCACGTATTGAAACAAACTCATTGCCACAGTCATACTGTATCTTGTTTAACCTTAACTCCCTCTTCACTACATAATTATTTAATAAGGTCAATTGTTTTGTATTCAAATTCCTTTATGCTAATCATTATGTGTAAGAAAAACTGCATATTATTTCAGTTATTTGTTGTTGTTTTTTTGGCTTTTATATAAGGGTTCAGTCAATAAGCAAGCAACAGATTTTTGATTTTATTGTATTTTTATAAAGTGTTTGTTCGCTCAGAGGAGCAAGTTGTGAAAAACAATTACTAATATTCAATAAATCATTGTAATAGAACAATAGGGCAACATGCTGTTGACAGATTATTATTGTAGATATTATTACTGTCTGCATTGATTTTACTGGCGGTTCTTTATTGCATAGACAGACTTGTTAGTCCAGACTGTGTGAACAGTGGTCATGTGCTGCAGAAGGTCATGAGTCTGTGTGCGGATGACAGATCCATCTGTGTGTTGCAGTTAGGAGTGATGTCAAGACAGCTGCAGTGGACAGAAACAACAAGCACACATAGTTCTCTGACCTTCTGCTATTCTCTTCCTCATGCACTTAAATGACAGCTGTTAAACTACCGCATGGGAATGTTAATTTAACTAGACTTGGCCCAGCTAAAAAAAAAATCCTGTTTTTTTGTGAAGTAGTCCTTCAAGTTCTAAGGTCAATACAGTGTGATATTGTTGTATTCTTTGTTCCTTTAATCATCTGCAAATGTCTGCTCCTCCTGTGAAACTGTTTTTCTCTGCTGTGTAGCCTGGGAGATGCTCAGTAACTTGAGCGTGTTGTTTCAGGTTTTGGTCTCTCCAGCTCCATAGTTTCTAATGGTCTGCTCTCGTCTGACCTTTAAAAAGTTGAGAAAGATGTTTTCATTCCAACCTTCTTTTTTTTTTTTTTTTAATACATACGCAGCCTGTCAAGCTCCAGTAGACTATTTTGGGAGGGAAGTTGCATATACTGTGCAGTATGCACCATTTATTATATGCATTGCCCTTTATAGCACAGTAAATCATTTGTCTCTTTTTACAAAAATGTCTACCAAATCACAGTGATTTTTTATGGCCACAACTGGAGACTGAACTTTAGAATACATTCAACAATTGTTAATAATAAATGCCTGATTAAAATGATCTATTAACAAATATTTTTTCATTAACAAATACAGAGTATATATACTGTAACCTGCTGTCAGGATGGTGACAGGAGTCCTCCAAAGTTGCTTGTCACTAAACTTGACCACCATTTTTAAAATGACTAATCCCCAATGAAATTGCACAAATGTTTTTAATTGGTAATTGCTGACCCTTGGCTTTAAAAACAGTTGGCTGAAAAGAAGAAGAACAGATCCAAATATCATGGGCATAATCAAGTCTGGAGAAGTGCAGTTCGTGCCAAAGCTGTACAGCAGTTTCAAGGAATTCAAAACACCAGAGGCCAAAACTAATATGTCTCTGACCCATTAATGTAATCACACCATGTCTGTAAACTTCACAATGCTGCATATGAATGGAGGAATTGCTCAAAATCCATGTTTTGAGCTGCTTTTCAACCTTTTAAAAGGGCAGTTTTTTTTTTTCTTGTGTAATTGTAAATGTATGTGCTCATGCTATTCATGCAGGAGTGATGGTGTGATTTAAATTCCTCTTTATGTTTTTTACGCAACCCACCGACTGACTTTTGAGCCAATTCATGCCGTGTGAACATGTATGCTGGTGCAGCTGCAGTCACATTATAACCTCCCTGTGGTTTAGCCACGGCACAGTGGATGTCTGTCCGGATCATGTAATGGATGGCATACATGTGTCAGGTGCGGCTGCAAATTGTGTCTATAGTGTATCTGTTCATGTCCATTTACCTAACAGTACTGCATGTACTATACATGTCTATAGATAGTCTGTATGAGCCTGGGCGTTTAACGGCTGCTAACGATTACATGCTTTGCACAGGTGTTGTGGAGGGTAGCATTTTTTGTGACAGCTGTAAACAGCCATCAGGGATTTGGCCACTTTAATGTAATTGGCTGCTGCACTGACAGGGATTGAGAAATAGGCCAGTATCCAGTTCGGAATTGTAGGCCTTATGAAATGCTCCCATCGGCAGGATAGCAGGATTAACAGGGCAGCTCACGTAAGCAGTTCAGATAAAAACTGGTCCCCTGAATAGAAATTAGTCTAGAAGTTGATGGGAAAATGGTATTACAATATTATTTTGTAATATGTACTGTATCTTACACATAGCACATAGATATATGTAATCGACAAATGTTAACATACACATGTTTAAGAGAGTGTTGGCTCCTTGGTTTGCAGTTTTATTAGCTGTGAAGGACATGTTACAGTTACAGGAGTTTCAAGAACTACAGTAAAATCAGGGAACAAATTTGGCAGTTTAGTGTTAAATGAAGCCTCAGTCATTTAAACACGTTAAAGGCTTGACACATACCCCCTCTTTAGGCAACCATTAAGATGCCAAATGAAAATAAAACAACATCTAGGGCCCTGTAAGTATTCTGTTGCTCAATCAAGAGGAGTTTATTTTTTGTTTACTTGTAAATACAGGGCTCTCATTAATAGCTTTTTGAGCTCCAAACTCTCTATTTCCACCTTAGCGGGCCAGGGTTTGTGGACGCCTTGGTGTTTTTCCATGTTTACATTCCCACCAACACCTAGTTTGAGTTTGAACCAGGGTTCGTCCATTAATGAACGTGTCTCTGAGAAATGCTGCCGTGATTTTTTTTTGTTTTTTTTTAAAGCAATACTCACATCAGTCTCTTTGTGATGCCGCTGTAGAGTTCTCTCTTTTCTCCACTGCCTGGTAACTGCTTACTTGCTGCGTTCCCAGGCTCAAACTAGTGGCACAGTTCCCAGATTAGGTCTGGGAGACTGAGTAGTTTCTCAGGAGACAGGGGAAAAAAGATCCAAATAACTAAGTAACCCGTGGGGTTAATGGCTGAGGACCTTAAAGCTCACTCCATGGAGAGGCTGTTGTAAAAATCTGCAGAAAATTAACCCAGAACCAAATGAACAATTAAGGAGTTTGGATAATAACTGCTACCTATTTCTTTCTTTTGTAACTTGAAATGTGAAATTGTAAGCTGTTTGGTGTTGCATTTAGGGCTGTGACCCAGATGACCCTAGTAGACATGTGTATCTCCGAAACCCCAAAACAAGGACGGCTCCCAGAGGATCCATGACATTAACTTGGGATTTTTTTCTTGGTGTTCTTTGGAACTTTGTAATCAAGTGCTAGTGATGTTTTCATCAATCAGTGTGTTTACATTTCACTACAACCTTTTCACATTAACTCTAAGTGACACGATGAAACCAAGGGTAAAATATTTCCTGTACCACAAAGTGATCACAGGAAGTACTTTAAATGGCAAAGAGAAAGAGTTCAAGCAAAGACCCAAAATAGATACAAAAACACGGCAATTATTTATAACAATTTTGCACTTAAAGGTTGGAGCATTAATGAACCTGCTTACATTTAGATTGTTTCAGGTTTATGAAGCTCTGAATTTGATCAGTGAAACATAAAGGTCACATGACCACCTCAATAATGTGCCTTTGAAGCTTGAGCTTTGAATTCCTGATGCTATGTTTTATTTTATGAACTTTATTGATCCCACACTGGGGAAATTCTTGTGTTAACAGCAGATCTGCTGCATCAGACTGCCCCTTGGAGGCGCAAATATGTGGTTCCTCTGGGAATCCTGCCTTGCTATGTGGTGTGGCTGGTAGAGGTCACTCATAGAAGATACTGTATATAGTCTGTCTTGTCTTCCTGCCTTGGAGGGTAGTCATCTGGGTTCTGTGTCCAGGGTTAACACAAAAGGCCAGACATTGTTGTCTGCAGTGCTGGTGCTCTGGGGTTTTATATAAAGCTCTGAGCTAAAAGTCTAGACAAGAGTAGATGTGAAAAATGTAAGATATCATCTATTTATTTTCAGATGAACTTAAGCATGCAAGGCCAAACACTGCAAGTAAGAGCAGACTTTCTTTGGACATACATCTCCAGTGTTTATATGTCTTTACTGTAAACGCATTTCTCAAAGAGTGACATGCGGCATAAATATGTCCCTTTTCATGGATGTAACAGGGACTGATGAGAGACCTCTTGACCTTTCACAGGATGTGGGTGTAAATATTTTAAAGCAGAAGCCTGATCTCCTGCTCCCACTTCAATGTTCAAAATACTAGCTTTAAGTCCTGTTGTGCATAAAGATGAAAAGACCCTTCAGAACATTTCAAACAAATAAAGCATCTGTTGTTGTAAGGGGCGTCAAACGCAGTCATAGGGATGATTTCTGATGAAGCTCTAATTTAATATTTTCTTATCAACTGTGTTTTGAATGTCACAAAAGTGAAAGTGTTTCTTTATGCATTTGTCATACAGACATCGTTTACAGATGAGTAAATGACTGATATTTATTTATTTTAACATTGTATTGTTTGACAACCAACAGATAATGATTTATTAGAACAAGTACATCTATGTTCTATGTCATGCCAGTAAAACTAATGTTTATGCACAGTTGTTGCAAGAGTGATTATACTGTGTTCACACATTTTAGCTCCATTCCTGTTTGGATTGGTGTCACATTAAAGGTGAAATGGATGATGTGAAATGTTATTGTTTCTTTTTTTCTTTTTCTTCTTCTCTTGCCACAGTCCAAGTTATCCCAGAGACAGCAGCGCATGATTAAGAACCGCGAGTCAGCATCCTTGTCTCGGAAGAAGAAGAAAGAATATCTGCTGTCACTGGAAACTCGCCTGAAAGCGGCGTTGTCTGAGAACGAGGCACTCAAGTGTGAGAATGGGAACCTCAAAAGACAGCTGGAGGGTATCCTGGGTGAGGTGAGAGTCTACGGCCCGCAGCTTCGCTAATGCTTTCACAATACCTGCAGTTTATACCTTTTAAGTCATTTTATGTTTTCCTTGTCCTGTAGAACACAGTGCTGAAGGCAACAGCCCCCAAGAGAAGAGCTGTTTGTCTCATGGCAGTTTTGGTCTTCATCGTGCTTAACGTTGGACCAACAAGGTGAGTGAGTATGAGTGAACGTCTGTGAGGATTCAAGTCATCTGAACTTAAAAGTGTCTTAAAAGTCAGATACTGCGGTTAAAGATACAGGAAGATTACAAACAGCAACACATTTTGAAAACAAAAGGTATTGGTTAACTGGAGGAAAACAAGTGGGAAGCCCTGTGAGTCATTCTGGGAATCATAGCCCTTATTTACAAATCTGCACAAAGAAAGTCTATTGAAAACAGTATAAAATAAATTCATTGTAAACATTATTTCACTTTCTCACAGAACCTCTTCTTACTTACATTACCTTTATCACAACCACTGCTCAGTCTCAACATGGAAATACAAAAACAATATGACAAACCTATTTTACATCTGCTTCTGTCTGGGAAATTTTACCAATAGTTCACTCTACCTTATGTTTGAAACTTATTTCACTGTTGTTAAAAAGAACTTTATCTTCCACGATGACTGCTCGGTTCCCACAGTGTAAATACACGCCAATATTTCTCAAGTTTAACAAATGATTTAAAAAAAGAATCTACATTGAGAACTTGGACCCACATCCAGATCCAGACTACTAGCAAAATCTAATAATTCCTCCTTGGGCCATGAAGAATACCCGCTGAAACCTCCATGAGAAGCTATCCTTGATTTATTTATGAAGCTAACAAACAAGAGAGAAACTAACCAAAAACATAACCTCCTCAGCAGAGGTAACAACCTTGAACCAGCAGACAGTCAGAGGTATACAATCTGTGGTGTTTTTTTATCTCTTTTATCTGTTTTGTAATGTTGATAATGATACAGAATGTATGACTACACAGTTTTATTTGAGCCCGATACAGAACTGGGATCTTTCTTTTCTTTTAATTGTTCCTGCAACCTTTGCTCTTGTGTCTGCAGATTCTGAACAGATTCTGTTGTACCTTGGTAAAAAATGTTTTTTTCGACAATAATATAATATATTCTTTATTTTCGCTTTGATACTGTGTGATCACCTAAAGCTACAAAAGCTACAAATGTTTTCTTTTTAGTTTTTCCACCTAGGTTTAAACATGAATGAGTTTGCTTGAAAGGAGATACATTCAAACAAAACAGCAAACCTCTATATATGTATGTGTTTTTCTCTTCACTCTGCTCCATGTTCTTTGAATCTGAGCTTTCTGATGGAATGTAAAAAAAAATGCTAGTTTTTGTGGTAAGATCTTTGAAATATAAAATGCAACCCGATGCAATAAAATAGTCTGTGCCCTTGCACTCTTTTGTTTATGCAGTAGAGATATTATCAGATCAGATTCTGCTTCTTGACAAAAACAACAAGACCTCCTGTCAACAGGATGTGTGCCGCAGGGGAATCTGTGGTCATTTCAATCCAGTATCAGATTCTTCTCTTCAGTTGTTTTCCGCTCTACTAAGTATCACCTCACCTGTCTGTTCTCTTCTTACCCGGTCTTTGTGTCTTCATCAGTTTGTTTCAGGGTGGTCCGGGCTCCAAGCATGTTCTCCCTGTGCCGCACAGCGGCAGACACCTGCTGGGCTTCTCCTCGGAGGCAGGAACTCAGGTTGAGTTGGCCCCCGAATCCCTCGGCGATAGCCCCTCAGAAATGGCAGACAGGTAATGAGCACAATCCCCACCACACCTTTTACAGTACTTGTGTTAAATCTCCATGTCAGCGGACCAGGATGCACCTGTGCCTGGACCCCATGTAAACACATGCACCAGCAGATTACCGACTCTATCCAAATGTCTACCTTTCAAACAGCTTCAAGCCTTGGGGTCGTTCTTGTGCTTTAAGTAACAATGTGGGAAGTTACGGCATGTATGACAACGAGTTCTCTATTGCTGGTCAGTTTATTTTTCCGGAGGACTTCATGTTTTTCTTTGGTGAAATGCATTAGAGGCTCAACAGTCATTTGAAAATTGGATAAATAACATTCTTGTTTGTTACATTACTGACAACCCCCTGGCCTTAAAATTGTGTTTTTCAAGCTGGTAGAGGTTTGTCGTGTCTGTGTGGTGTTGGCAGCCTGTGTTTTGTCTGATGGTAATGTTAAACATTCATTGCAGGGATCAGGTTTCCCGAGAGGGGAGTAGGAAGGAACACATTAGCTTGTATAAAAAGGGGTGACGGCACCAAATATGGCATGAAGCAGGAGCTGTGCAGATGAATGTAAGGCTTCTACTGAACAGACAAACATTGTGTCAGCAGGCAGGTTATTTTGGCTTCTCAGTAAGACTTAAGTTGGGGGGTCTGTGGTATGAAGTTTTGTGTCATGAAACCATTTTCAGGATGGTAAGAAACAGAAATGTGGGGCAGAGTTGACATGTTGACTCAGATCAGAGAGGCCCAGAAGGGATTACGTCGATGGCAGACGTTTTCCTTAACAAGCGCTCTGCAGGTGGGTTCTGACTCTAGACAGTCTACATCATCACATCAGACAAAATAATCATTCTTTCACAAATTTCATTTACAGTAAAAAGAGAAAGTCATGCAATGTGCAGCTCACCCTCAATGACTTTGAATAATAATAAACAAGCCTTTTAGGTTGTCAATGTCTATACCAGGCCCTGGCTTCACCCACTGGGGAAACAGTCATCTGTAGCATGTTTATGATAATTATGAGCATGATTAATAGCAGCATGTGGACATATGGTGTCATAGTCCTAGCACTTCCCATCACAGTCTAAGTCAGCCTTTTTGTGCATACATTGAGTGCAGTTCAGCCTCCGCTCTGCACATGTCAAGTCAGAGTAAATGTTATTAGTAACCCATCAAATTCGAGAGAGACGTAACTGGCGCCACCTTGAATGCGTGCAGGTTTTTTTACAGCACTCTTTGTTTCCTCTTACCAAATTCCCTGTGGGTTTCACCTCCGTCTTAGGGCAGGCAGCCTTGTTGGCGCTCGGTGAGCATTCAAAGCATTTTCTGAACATGTGGAAATTATTTTTACCAGATTGTTTCTTCAGATTGGTATAGTCATGTCAGAACATTTTAACAACCCCTTACTCTTATAAGCGGTAATGATATTTACCATTTACTCTTCTCTCTTTGCTTTTCTTCTCTGTTTTAGCTCTGAGGATAAGGCACTGATGGTGGTGAAGGACCCTGTCTTTCTCAGACCCCCTCCACCCTGTCGGCATCACATTAACAGGACCAAGTGCATGGAGTGAGTCAAGAGAACCTCTGTCCTAAATCAACAACGTCTGACTAAAATGTAATGAATATAAATTCTAAAAATGTACCACCCTTAACTACTTGTCAGGTTGGTGCACGAGTTGAGAGGTTGGGTCCACCGCCATGAAGTACAACAGACCAAAATCCGTCGCACCAGCAATCACAAGCCCAGCAGGACCATTTTGGTAGGTTAGTGGGGGGAAAAACAAATAACTAAAAAGCAAAAAAGAAATCTGAAGAAAACCTTGTAAATAAAACATGTTAAAATAAAGACCATGTTTAGTGTTAAACGTTTGAAGGTAACCTTCACATAAAATTCAGTTCAAGCCCCCACATTAAGCGTTATTAGATCTTTTGTAAACAAGAACCTCTATTAATTTCACCTCGCCCTTTCTCTAACCCCACCCCTTCCCTCCCTCCTCTCATTTCTCTTTATTGGGCTGAGTTTGGTCCAACAGCCCTGAGAAAGTAAACACAACACTTGGAGGCAAGCTGTAGGATTAGAGTCCCCTGCCACCATTTTTCCGTCATTTTTTTTCTGTCTGTCACACAAAGTCCAATCTAATGGAGAGCTTCCTACTAACCATATGCCAATTCTTCACTTTACTGTAAACAGACAGGTGAATGTGTTTATTATTCACTTTTGAGCTTCATTTTAGCTGTGTATATAGTTTCACATAATGTTTTATCATGGCTCACTGAACACAGGTCGTATTATTAGGAAAAAGCAACACTTGTATACAACATCACTTTGTTTTTCAGAGCTCTGTTTGACAGAGTAGCCTTTACCTTGGGACAGGGACATATGTGCTGATGTCCAGATGTTTTGATGCAGTGGTCACTTGTAATGTCTGAATGAAGTTTGTGTTTGTGCTATAAACAATGTTGCCATTTGTGTATCCCACACTCACTCCCAATTGTTACTTGATGTTTGTGAAGGAATTCTAGTTAATTTTTTCCTCTTTTTCTCCAACAGAAAACGGAGAACAAGGAGGACGCCCAGATTCTGACTGTCCAGTACACAGAAACATCTCAGGAAAAGTGAGTGAGAGCCAATGATAGTGTCAGAATCCAAATCATATTTTAGCCCTTTGTTTTTTCCACATAAACAACACTGAGGTGTTTTTAAGACACGGTCAAACAGTTGTAGCTGGAAAATTAGTTTCTGACTCTTTGATTCATGCCGCACCTGTTTGCTGAATCAGCAATAGCTCTTTTTTCTGTCATCAGAGATTTGACTTTACGCTTTTACGAGTTGCATCATAATGAACCAAGTCAACCCAGGGTCAGCTGCAGTACACATACCACAGTAGATGTTGACACGAGATCAGTGATACATTTTCTTTTGGATGACATTATATTTTTAAAAATCAAATAATTTTCCATTTCTTTTATCACTTCATCAATCCAACTTTTCAAGACAGACCAAACCAATTCCTTTTGCCTTTTTCTTCAGCACAAATGTTTTATATTTCTTAAATGCTCATGCCTGGAATCTCCTTGGTACATAAATCACATGTTGAAGGTTTCTGAAAAATGCAACAAAGCAGAAACAAACTGATGCAGGAAAATGGCAGTTAAAAAAACAAATCGATTTTATCATGAATATGTCAAAACATTGTGCTTTCTAAATAAACTAAGCTCAGAAACATTCATGCCAGTTTCCTCATATCCATGTTTAATCCAGTAATTCTCCGTATCAACAGGAACCCCGGCAACGAACTCCAGGTGTACTACGCACCTCACCAAGCCTACAGTGACTTCTTCGATGAGCTCAACAGACGTGGTGACACTTTCTACGTGGTGTCTTTCCGTACGGTAAGATCAAATCACCAGCGGAATAACAGAATTATTTTAGGAGAGTATACATATTTAATTGTAATGTGAATTTTTATTTTATTTGAAAAAAAATGGCATATCAGTCCAAATAAAGAGGTATTTTGTGTGAATTAACATGTCAGGAGCAGGTCTGGTTACAGACATCTGTAAACTTCCTAAAATCAAATCACCATCAAATAAGAATGTAACTAATTTCCTAAGTGTGTGTAGATAAATAAAATCATACACTGTTCTAACTGTTCTTAACAAAGTTCCTTGATCTGAAAGATAAGTATTTAAGAAGGAGAGGGAAAAGAATAAAATACCAGTGTTCAGAGCAGATGCTCAGACCTTTTTCCATTCAATTCTTCCTGGCCCGTTTATAATCAGCAGCAGCATGTTTTAGATTTTAAGGCGTGCCCACATGTCAATGTGATCTTTTTAGTCTTTATTCAGTTGAGTGTATTCCACTTCAGGAAAAAAAAACAAACCTTTTGTGTTAGTTTAGGTATAAGATAGTTCAATTAGGTTTTTGAGTTGCTCAGGTTGGCTAAATTGTTTTTAACAACACAAACTGGGAGAGGATACGCTTTTCAAATTCACTAGGGAAAAGGAGCGGGTTGATGCAGCATGTGGTCAAGGGTCAGGACCACTTTTCACTAAGCAAGTGACAAGAGTCTGCATCAGTTGGCATGGTGACAGCAGGAACAATGGGAGCACTGGTGTACACAGAGACAGAGGCCCTTCACAGGTCAAGTAGCTGTCCTCCACTTTTCACCAGGTTGGTGTGGTAGCAAACGACAAATGTTCTTGTGAATTTAAAAAAAAAAATCAAAAAGGAACATCTTACCATTAGCAAGGGGAAATATTTCAGTGGTAACAACTAAACATTTAATTGCAAAGCCAGAATGTGGAATTTTTAATGTACATTTTTGACTTGAACAGAGAGGAATACTTTAATATATTTAAATTTAAAAAATATTAAGTGAATTGTTAGAGACTGTAGAGTGATCATCAAAAAGGATGAAAAGTAATGTCTGAAATTCACCAACTCTAGTAAAAAATATTGCAATTTTTGCATATTAATAATTCTATCATTCTACCTGCTGTTGTTTTTCTACAAGTTTTAGCAATAGACAGAAATCAGTTGTTACATTTAGGAATTTTAATTTACCTTGATTTATTACAATTAATTGTGATAAATTAATATCATGATTTTTCAAATTATCAATTGACATTCCTAATAGAAAATATGTCTGTGCATAATGCATAAATACAAATAAAAACATTTATTTAGTCTGTTTTTCACCACACTGAATTAAGCCGTCTCTGTCAACCAATTTGCCTGTATTTTGTTTCCTGGGTTTCAGGGAGTGTGTATATTGGCAAACATGGGTGTGCTTTGTCTTTGCGTTCCAGACAGTATGATGTTATTATGGGGCTGCCAAAGCTCCAGATTAGATTTGGAATTTTTTAAGATTTTAAAGCCAATCATTACCAATATTCACTTTTGTCCCTCAGGCAAAAAAATATTTCTTGTAGTTCATCATCGTCATCATGTCTGTTGTTGTCCTCCCTTGTAGAGTTCACTTACAGCATTATGTTAGACTCTCAGACAGAGTCATGCTTGGGTTAACATTACATAAACCCCTTAACAAATACATAATGCTCTATGAAATGAGCTGAAGTGATGGAAACCCTGACTCTGCCACAGACATGATTGTCCGTCAGTTATACTAGCCTTGTTTAGCCTGTTGTGCTGTTTTTAGCACCCTTCATTCATGTAATTGAGCTTCGAGGTGTGGTGATGGAAACACTGATTGCTTGCACTGTGTACTGTGTCCAATAATGACCGTGGAAAAATTCACCAGTTGTCATGGCAGCTACGGCAGTTGTGTTGCCTCGACAGATTTGTCGCCCCCCCAAGATAATCAGTAATGTGTTCTTTCCTACTTCCTGCTGCTTTTCTCTGCAGAGTCACTCTTTTATTCCCCTCAGAGGTAGGACTCTGGGGCTTATGGTCTGTAATGACACAAATTACATGAACATTTTTATGTTAATTGATGAACGTGAAACACCAACACTGACACTGCAGTCAAAAAGGATTACTTTTTTTGTCAAGACTGTGGTTTTCCCTCAATAGTTTCAAAATGGGATAATTGAGATAATTCCACTTTGTCAAATGAACATCAACAGTCTCACTTGCAGCTATAAATATATGTTGCCAACCATTAAAATATAATTTGGACACAAAAATTCCAATGATTTATGCCCTAACTAGTGAGTTTTTTATTGCAAAGTTGCCCTTAATTTTGCAGCGGTTGCAGCAGCACAAATTCCTGAGTCAAGAAACTTAGTACTGTATTGTCTAAATTAAAAAAAAAACACCAAAGAGAATTTGCCCCAAAGTTTACCACTTTGATGTATTGAAACATACAAGTACATAAAATACACAATTATATCTTGGTTCCATTCTGTGTTCTCCTGGTGCTGAACGACGTCCTTTTACTATGTGCTCGGTACTGTTTGTGCTACATATGTGTTTGCACAGTAACATTCCTCTCAGCTGCGGCTTCATCTGAGAGGATGTGCTCAGAAAAATGTATTTCCTGCTATTGTTTATTGATTTCATAAGGACCAGTTTTAATTGCACTTAACACTCACACATTATTATTATTACATCTTAACTAGATCAATGTGCACCACCATGGTTTGGCAAGGGTCATTTTGAAGTAGTGGTTGTGGTCACGCATGTAATTGGTTGTATTTGAAAATGAAGATTTCTTTGGAAATTATTGGTTAATACTCTTGAGTTTTGCTCTTTAAGCTTTTTATTTTCCATTCAAAGACTCTCTCTTCTTTCAGGACCATCTCCTGCTCCCAGCCACCAATCACAATAAAGGAAGTCCACCCAAGATGTCTGTGGTTTTACCAGCCATGAACATCAATGGTAAGTGCTGCAGCACAGACACGACAGCAGGGGAGTTTGGTCACCATTCAGGGTGTAATTAATAAAAGCTGGGGGCCAAATCAGAAGCACCGCTCCTCCTGAAACACATCAGTACAGCCCTTCACTGTTTTAAATCTGTTGAAAAACAGTTATGCTGCCTGTCAAAAATGTCTTGGTTAAATTTTCCTCCACATCTGGCTTCTTTTTAATGCATTTTATTTCCTCACCCCCACCCAGAGCCATTCTGTGTTTTTATGTCTTCCGCTCTCTTATTGTATTCTTTTGCATTTATCATTTTGGTAATGTATCATCAGCAACAAATATGGCCCTTGAGCAAGCCCTGAAGACACAATCATAGAATGTGGTTATTTCCCATTGACCTTAGTTTTGGTTTGAAAACTGAATTAGGACACAGAGCGGGACTTTTACTGCATTTTATTTTCTTGTTCACATATAATGAGGTATACATGCATTTTATATATTTATTGTGCCCACATGCTAAGCTTCAAGTTAATCCCCTGGATTCTAAAACTCTGGTTCTTGTTTATCTGGTGTAAGGGCTTGAGTTTAAGAGTATATGTGACAATTCACTGCTGCTGCTGCACATAACGTATTCCTTCAGGAAATTAGACTACCAACAAGACATTAACAAACTGTAAAGCAGTGACACAAATTCTTGTGTCACTGCATCATTTTTCTCACACAGAACAGTTGTTGTCCACAGCGTCTCAACGTGGGTGGTAATCAGGGTTTTCTCTGCCGCATGTTGAAGTCTGGGGTTTGAACAGCTAATTTGAAAACCAGTCACCCATTTACTTTACTGCCTTCCTCAGAACAAACGTAGACAGTCTTACTTTGGCATAAACGAGGTACTCTGTGTGTATGTGGATGTCTGTGTGTCACAGTAGTGTACTGTATCACAGTAGTTGAAACAAAATATGCTGTGGATTCAGAACTAGCAAAAACATTCATTCACACAATCATATGTGTTTTAATCTTTACATACAGTGTGGATGGAATAATATAATAATCTTTCCCTCTAGCCATGAATTATTCCATTAATTCATTAATGTCAGCAGCAACTGTTGGTCTTCGCCTAGATAAATAAAGTGTAAAACTCTGTCTTAAACAGACATTTTTTATCTTTTGTCACTTTTTCTGACAGCAACCCTTGTACTTTATCCTATAAATAGATTGTGAATGAACTCAATGGCCACAAGGTAGAATGATCTCACTAGGAGTCCAGTCCTGCCAAACTCACTCACCTTGGATATTTTAATAATTTGTTATTAAAGAGTGTGACCCCATGATTATAAACAGGTCCACTTTTGGTGTTAATTCAAGTATTAACAATTATATTGTTGTGTTAGTAATATGAACCTCCACCTTTTAATGAAAATTAATTCAGTTCATTACTTGGTAATTTAGTCTCATCAGTAGTTTACAAATTAATTAATTCTAATTACTGAGAAGAAATCAAATGTTTTTATAAAACAATAAAATCATTTTACGATAAGTTTATTACATCGTGTTTAAACACTTGGACGCCAAAAACCTTGGACGTGGTGGTTTGAAACATTTGTTACCAAAATGTTTCCAGTGAATCACTGAGTTTGCACATGTTGTTGATTTCAGTGAGCTCATCGCATCCTGAAATCTGTTGGACGATCAGTGTAACGCATTTAAGGCACGTCATCAGAGATTTGTGTGGAAAGAAATCTTGCACATGTGAGAGCCTGTCGGATTACAACCTGAAAAGAAGCCTAGCTGAGATGAACAATATTCTCAGCATGTTCCGGTTATTCTGCATTTTTATCAAAACGACTCATGTTCTTGACCATCACTGGCAAAAAAAAAACAGGAACAAACTTTGTTTGTTGATGGTGAGCTGTGAGAGGAGGGAGTGAGTGGAAAAAAGGCCTCTTTGGCTTTCAAAACAGCTTTTTATTGTTGGTGCCTGGGAGGGTAGTGTTAAAGATTGAGATTGATGAAGGTAAACATTGTTCTTGGATGGTCTTGTCAGAGAGGAAGTTGAGGGCTGTGAAAATCAGATATCTCAATGAAATAGCAGCAAATGTTGAAATCCAAGACCTTTCTTTTCAGTTGATTGTTCAAATGGTCAAACAACATTGATCACGTTTTGGTGCCATTGAAAAGGATGGCGACATTAAAAGATTTTCCGTAGTTTCACGGGCAATAACTGCTCCTTGTGCTGTTAAGAAATGCTGACACAGCAAAGGATAGCTGTGGTTGTCTACTAATGCAAAAACCTGCAACGGTCCCTCCCATCGTTACTTGTGAAACCCCATGTGTCGCACAGATGACAGCATTCAAGTAGCACTTAAGATTTATGTCGTCTTTGTTTGAAACTTTGAAGTGATTAAGTGCAAATGTACATATTTGGATGGGTGAGACCTCTAGAAAAGCAGAAACACTGTCCCCTCTGTGGAGCATGATTGCTCGACAGTGGGGGATAATTCTTTCCAGCTCCCAGTTGCTGTACTCTCTTAGGAATGCCTTCCTTCTCCAGTTGCTAAATGGTTTGCATCTGGAGGAGGTGGATAGACGCTGCTAATCTGAAATGATTGTTTGGTCTGTCTTGGTCAATAACCAAACAGGGGAGATAGAGACTTTGATGTGAACTCTCTCTTTCTGTCTCATTGCACGTCCACGGGTCAGGGATTCTGTTAAGAGTTACTCGATCTTGACCTCCTTGGTTCTCTCTCGGGGAGTGGATCTGACTGAGCGCTGGCTCTGATGGGTGTGTTTATTTAATGAGCCTGAGAGTCTGAACGCAGCTCAATCAAGACAATGTGACATGTTTGGACAAAGGAATGTTTTCAAGATTACATCATCTACAGGTGGATCAACTGCAGTCTATTTTTTACTGCGCTTTTGCTGCACGTATACTGTACAGTAACTAACAGGCAGCTCTCACTGGGGGTTCAAGGTAGTGCTAAACACCCCTGAGTGACAGGGATCAGACCTTCGTACTCCACGAAGCTAAACAATGACATGGTTCTCCTAAAATGAAGTACTGTGTCGAAATGTTTATCTTTGCTCGCTATCACAAATTCTGAATTTTCTATATAAGGATTCTGCGTAGGTTTAAGTACGTTTGCAGTTGAACTTTCCATGTAAAATTGTATTGAGAGGATGTGGATGTTTCGTACATCGCCCAAGACGTTTCCTCACCACTGTCACAGATCAAAGGCACACATTTTAACATATATCTTGGCTTCTGTTTGAGGTTTAAATAAAATAATTTTAAAGAAAAACACTCAGTTATACATACATTACAACAGGGATAAGGACGAAAGTAAGTGAGTGAAGGTGACTGAGGAAAAGAAGAGAAAATGTTTTGTTTTTTTCATGTTTTTCACAACACTCTTGCATGCTCAGACAATCTGTCTTTTTCCCAATATCACAAACTTGTCATGTATGGTTGGAATTTCATATTCACCTCTTTTCATATTCTGAGCCAACCTGGAAGACTCCATCCTCCTGAGAAGCTTCCTCTGAGTTTTTCAGATGTAGAGTAGTCTGACTTAGGTCTTTCATCTGAACCCTCCAGCTCAGTTGAGCTTTGAGCATCTCAACATGTTAAGAAGGGGACGGGAAACCACGCAGAGCACAAGGGTAGATTTGGCAGGCTGTACAAAAGGCTGCTGTTTGAAGTTGTGCGCTTCCTTTTCCTCTGCTCAGGCCTGTAGAACGAATGAATATCAGAAAGGCAGTTACGTCTTTTGGGAGACGATAGATAACAACTCCATCCGTCGTGACGACGACGTGAACCTTGACCTGCCCGAGGCTTTCATACCTAATCATCAGACTTATATTTAGTTAACCTTTACACCTTTAGAACCAAAAGACATGTTTTTGATCTTTCTTCAAACTTTTAACAGTCTTTTGTTGGTCGTGTCCTTGCACCAATTTTTTGTAAGTTTGATGATTAACTTCCTGAATGAATAGAAGTTGGAAAGGCTACGCAAAAATGTAATGTCCTGTTTTTATTCATGGTTTACACCAACTCACTTTTGCTCTACAGTAATTATACTCTGGTCCAGTCGCAGCTGTGCTTTCCTCATCATTAGAAAAATACTCAATAAAAATACTTTTACTGGTTTGTAAATTAACTCTGGGAAAGAAATATGTATTTTGTCCTATCAAATATTAGATTAAAATTTGCGCAATTAGCTTGTTAAAGAATATCTGAAACTTTTTTTTGTCCCAATACTGTCCCTGGGAGAACACCAGATGTTATTGTCCAGATTGAGAAACAACCAAACTCAACAATCGAACCTTTGTCATATAAAAGTCTTTGCAGTTGTCCTTCTAGTAGCTATTTAAATCACATGTTCTAGTGTTCTTCCCAGCAGGAGCCTAGGTCTGAGGCTTGACCAGTCGATGAATCCTTGATGAAGACTTCCAGAAATGTCTGTTGAAAACAGTTGTAGACGTGCAGTTTAAATCACAGGTGCAGAAAAAGGAAGTTCACTTGAGGGCGAAGTCATCATTAGCTTTACATACACTTTGCATTTAATGATGTGAGCATGCACAGACCTGTCCTTCTGTGGGAGAAGTATCAGGTCTGTACAATGACTTGATCCCCCTGAACCTGAAGTATACATTCATGGAAATACATCAAAAGAGCAGATGAAGCTGATGAGTTGAACAGGTGTCCATGGAAAAAAACACTGTGGCTTTTAAACAACTCTCTGGTTTTATAAAGGAGACCCCAGCTGCACCAAAAACCCAACAGGGTTTGGTCTGTCATTTGTGTTCCACATGGGACGTGTCACTTCCATCTCATAAGAGAAGAGAGCTAAAAGTTTTAAAGTAAACAGTCGCTATAATTTAACCAATGTTGAAGGTTTTAAACGGAACAGAAATGGCTTTTTTGTTGTGGATTCCACACACATTTCCTGATTATTTTTGTAGGTCTGTTTACTTACTAAATCTGGGATTTATTCAGTATAACTTTCCAAGCTCATCAACAATAATCACATCTTCAATTTTCCTATTTTCTGCGCAAAAGAACAACAACAACAAAAACGCCACACGTCTGAAGAATGACTATGTGGAGATTTTTCTTCCTCTTCCACACAGCTGCCAGACGCTGTCCTCTCAAACGTGCCTGTTCTGCTCTCGTTGGATGTTTGTTTATCTGTACTGTGGAGAAATCCCATCTGTGACTCACCTCTGGACTCCATCTGTAATCAAGATTGCGTATACTTTCCCCAGTTCTCAAAGCCCACCACTTCACCCCCACATCTGCCTCAAATAATGCTCCTCTGTACTCTTTGCTCTCTTATCTTGTCTCTTTATTGTCTTTGTTGTGGCGTGGGGAAAGAACTCAGCAGTCCTAATGACTTCTGGGAGCAATCTGATCTGAACAATAGTCTGAATTGGAGCGTGTCAAGGATAAGTAAGGACATATTCAAGGATCAGTCCAGTGGAATAAGGATGTGTGATGCTTCAGATGGGGTTGGATTTTGTAGATGTATTCTTATAAAAACAAAGGTTTAATCATTTTTTAAAATGTAAAATATACTTAATATACACATTTTTATATGTATATATATATAGCCCTGTTGTCCTCTACAGCTTCAGTTGTCTCTCACTGATTAAATAAACTTCCTCTCCCCTTCCTGTGCTTACAGACAGCGTCATCCGGGACAAAGATTTCCGGGTGATGATGCAAATCGACTGTGAAGTAACCAACACCAGGATCCTACACATCAGGTCTTCCTCCATCCCACCTGTACTCCGCGTCAACCACACAGACACATTTTACCAGCACTCCACTGCCAACAACCAGGCCACGCCCCCTGTGGGTGTCCTGATGGGATCTGCCTAAAACCACCATTCCAATCACAAAGACAAACAGATCTCAGTTCAACATTATATCCTTGTGGTTTTTACCAACGTGGATGTGCTCTTATTGACTCTCTGTGAGTAAGATGCAGAAGATTGTTATCTGTACTGATCCTTAAATGTCAGAACACACACTTAGCTCGAAGGTGTTCTGCAGCACTGAAACAGTGTCTGTGTTGGTCTGATATCCAGACAGAGCCTGGATATCAGACCAACACAGATGCTGCTTCCATGTGCGGTGAAACTGACTTCTCCCTGTGACCCAAGATGTCCCACATAAGGATTATTGCTCAACTGCAGAGGGGCCGAGCATTAAACCCTGCATCACCCCCCTCCCACCCCCCATAACAGATACAAAGTCTGCTCCAAAGACAGAATTTTTAATACAGGTTTAAAAATTTTTTATATACATCAAGGATAAAGTTACAGAAAACCTGTTATTGATGTTTAAAAAACACAACAAGTTTATTTTCTTTCCTCAGGCAAAAATGTTGTTACTCAGTTTTGATCTATAGGATCATTAAATATCAATAAATAAAATTAAATATTTATAATATCTAGTAGGAGAGACAAACAGGTAAACCACTACTGTGAGTCAAGTTATGACGAAGACATACTTTTTCATTTCCTCTTTGCACTCTCCTTCACACAAATGTATAAAAAAAAAAATCAGGTGTCATATATTTCTTTTATAATGAAAACTTAAACTGTGCTGTCATGCTTTTTGCTGTTAAGGTAAGTTGTTTTCTTCTTTTATTTCTGATTGTACATGGGGATTTTTTCTAATTACAGGAAACTATAAAAAAAACATTAAAAAGATTGAAGGTGGGGGAAAAAATTAACATTAAATGTTGAACTCAGAGGGACTTGATGAGTGTTATCCTGGAAAAAACAAGAGCCTGCATATGTTATAAAGAAATACTTTGGCAAAGTTTAGTCCAGAATTATCCATCCAAGGACGCTTGCACTTTAAAAAGGTGCCTGAAAGGTTGGTATGTGTGAAAGTCAAATTAGTTGTAAAACGTCTGCACTGTAACTGGCAGAACAGCATTTGATCCCTAGTACTTTGTGTGTGTTTATACTTTTTGGATGTTTGATATGAGATAAAACGGTATTTGCTTGTTTACTTATTGATGTCAGTTGACCCACTTGCTCTACTCTTGTGAATGTCAGTGTGTTTTTATCCCCAGCTGCACAGGTGTAGAGATGGTTGTTCTTGCTCAACAGATGCCTATAAAAGAACACATGGCATCGACTGAGTTCAGGCCAGAACCTTTTACCTGTCATATTTTCTCTCACACTTTGGCTTCAAAACAATATTAATCTTTGTTTCCACTGCACCCAATGGTCCATGAAGTGAAGGCTGATCGTTTCAAACATGTGGTTTTGTACTGTGTAATGTAAACACTGGACTTTCTGTGTGTGTGTGTGTGTGTGTCTCATGTCGTCATATTAACTGCTGTTGTTTCAAAACCTCACAAAACCAAAAAAAATATTTCAAAAATTATAATAGTTATATAAATTGTTGACAAAAATGCAATGTGTATTAACTTCAGGTTTATATAATTTACAAATTCATGAAATTTAAACTGGGCTTTAATGACATTCTGAGTCAAATAATGTTTTAATAAACACTTATTTTTATTATTAATAATAACATTTAGTTGGGGACTACATATGTTTTGTTTTTGCAGCAAAAACCTCAAATTAAAAAAAATAAATAAATAAAGGAACAATTTCTTTCTATCCAAGCTTTATTGCAGTCTCCTCGAGGCAGGCTGACATGAAGAACCTAAGTGCAATAACAAGACGGTGCGACAGGAGTTGTGTGATGGAACCAAATATTTAAGCAGAACACGTCAATTCTTTCAGTGAAGGTAGGAATGTGTTTGAAGATAAAAACTGTTCATTTTCTGTGACTCGACATGAATGAAGCCAATACATACATTTATTCATCTCTTGCTTTTTGTACAGTATTGCAGTATATACAGCAGCACTTGATATGTTGACTGAATAATCAGGCTTATTTTTTTTATTTAGTCTTTAACATTTAGCGTATATAAAAAATAACATAGCCATCTGTCTTTAAGCACGGAAAGTAGACCAGTCGTGCTGAACCAATGCTAATGGAAGCCTAAAGGAAAATGTTAAAGATACAGTATGCAAAAAAACTAAAAAAAAAAAAAACAATAGTAAATTGCAGAATCAGACAACTGTCATTTTAAACAGGGCAATATATGTCAAGTCATTTGTTTATCTGCTGCAACTCCGCCTGTGTTCTCTAACCCTAACCCTGCTGATATTAAAATAATCACCATTGATGCAGTAGGTGCAGTTATTGGTCAACACAGACACAAACCAGCTGTTTCAAACTAACTGACAAACAGTCACTTTTCCATGTGGTCCGTACTGATTCAGCACAGGTCTGATCTCTTACCAATGGCAGTAAGGAGTCCCACCACTGTGACGGAGCTGAAGTTAAATTAAATCTAACAAATAACTGAGGGAAGTTTGGAAGGTCCATACTTTGGAATGTCCATAAATAGTTTGGAATATTCAAAGATATTTTGTAATATCCATATATGGTTTGAACATTCCGAACTTCCTTCACATCAGCCCAAACTTGGAACATCACAATCTGGCTGTGAGAAGTGAACTCTTGGGTTCCTAAAGACATTTCTGAGATGTCTCCGGGGCAGAAGAACATATGTCCAAACATCACCTGTAGGAAAGCTAGCATCGGATGTTGCCCAGTGGTAAAAGAGGATTATCACTGGAGGGTTGCAGGTTCTATCCCAGCCCTGTCCAAGATGCGAGGAGTGTTGTTTAGGGTGCCCCCCGGCCAGGGTTAATAAAGGGGTTGGATAAAGTATGGAATATAAATTGTAGTACCTGTGTGGGTTAGGGTGAATAATAACAGCACTGCTGTGTCGGTTATGTCATCGTAAATCTAAGTCTATGTACAGCACAGTTGCACTGGTTTGATATCAACCCGTCCCAGGACGATCATCTGGTGTAAAAACTGACCATGGACAGGACAAGTAGGTTCTCCCTGTCTATATACAGTGTTGTCCTGGAGGATTCTTACCTTCACAACCTTAACTTTAATGTTTACAGTCAGAAGCAGCAATCTCAGAAGTTCAGATTTAGATGGATTTAGATGGTGCCAACCAGTCAGTTGTTGGTGTTTTCTAGACTCTCCATGTCACCACAACACATCTGATTAGAAGGAATACAAATAAAGATGACTTGACTTCAATGGACATTTCAATAAGGTTATTTTTACCAACCAAACTGTAGCCGTAGAACTGTACAACTAACCATGATTTTAAGTTTTAAGAACGTAAACTCAGTTCTCAGAGGGGACGGGGGTTTGTGTGTGGGGGGGAGGGGCATAAACTGTAAATGTCCCATGTTTCGTGAATGGATGGCTAGGTTAAATTTTTTATATACGACCCAGGATTTCAGGAGAAACATTTGTGATACAATCTAAGCAGCTCAGTCACAAACAGCTGAGGTTTAGTCAGACCTTTGTACCCAACATCTGTATATACATTTGTCTCCACACTGAAGGCCAGTTGGACTGATCTACAGTCCACACACACACCGTAATAACAACTCTGAATATAACTACTGTCTAGCTTTATTGAGTGCCTACGTAGGCAAACTTGATGTTGTACGTGACTTGATGTCCGTTGTCCCAGGCGTACAGCATACCCTCCTTTGGGTTGTAGTCAATCTGCGTGGTGTAGGTGTAGTTGTTGATGAAGGGCATTCTGGGTATCATCTGAGTGTTTGTGTGCGTGTCGAAGGCGTACTCCAGGTTGGCTTCCCTTTGGTTGTTGCTGTCAACAGCATATAGGACGCCACACACGATGAAGCAGTTCCCGTAGCGATTTCTCCTCAGACCAGTTCTCCAGGTGGTCTCCCTCTGCATGCTGAGGTCCGAGGGGTTCAGTCGACTCAGAACTATCACTTCCTGCAGGAAACCCTCATCATCCAGCGCGGGGTAGATGATCCACAGGCCGCTCTCATCCACGGCAAAGTCGATGTCAGCGTGACTGCGCCAGTCCCACGGTGACGAAGACTCTTCAAACAGGGCGTCGTGGAGCATGGTCCAGGAGGCCACGTATCTGTGGCGCAGGTCGTATTTGATGATGTCACGAGAGAAGGCGCGGTTGTAAAAGAAGGCTCCATCGTAGACCACGTGACCAGTGCCGATCCAGTTGTATGGAAGTTTGTAGGTGTTAGTGTATCGGCCTGTAGGGGGCGAAGAACAATAGTCAGGAAAATGCACTTTTAGAACAGTCTCACTCATAATTAGGCCATTAGTCCTTATCTGAAAACTGTTTCTCACCTTGTTTAAAAGTCTCCATGTTGCGAAACTCTACGAGGTTGTTTCCGTAATAGAAGTTGGTGACATATATTCTGTCATTGTCAGACTTTGGATCCTTCATCCACGCCCCCTCATTCCTGCCGTAGCTGTTGTGAGTCACTGGTTCGGAGATGGTTGCCAATGTGTCTTTACATTCACCTGAAAAAAAGGGAGCATTTAGAAAAACATTGTCACGAAGCCAGGTTAGCAGTTAGCAGAGGTCTTAAACATCTGGGGCAGGGAACAGTATTGAGCTGTGGATCGTTTGGTACTGGGCCCCACAGATAGAATTTCTTTTAATTTACATTAGTTTAAATGGTATTTTATTTTAGAAAATGTTCCCTTCCATACACTCCCCTGTTGATAATATCGGTCGGCCCGGTACTAGCATATTATGTAATATCTGTTATCGTTATCGTTATCGGTTCTTTCCTCAGATAATGAAAACCTGATAATGCAATGCCTGAGGTTCGCAAAATGATGTGTGCCCTAAAAATAATTTTGGGGATAAATGGCTGTATGCTAACGCGAAGGTGACTAGATGGGAGCGTTGCAGCTCATTTCATTAATCTCACGCAGCAGTTTGTACAGATAATAAATAAATACTGCCAGGCCTATACTGATATTGGTTGATATTGGAATCGGAAATTAAGCATTGGACAATATCGACATATCGGACATCGGCTGAAAGTTAATATTGGACATACCTAAATATTATAATAAAATTAAATCAAAGTGAATTATATAAAATATTTATATCTACATAATATATGGAATAAATAAAAGATAAGTGACGCATTTATGGCGGCTAGGTCGTAATTCTGATATTGTGGGCTCTACTGCAGCTCCATCTGTTCCATGCTGTAGAACATTCTCCAGCCTGTCCACGTCACACAGTGAGGCGGCCAGTGACCTGTCATCTCCTCCATGGTCTCAGTGGCTCCAAGAACAACAGAACAGTGTGACGTCCTGTACAGTGGGGTCGTTTTAACCATGGGACAAATGTGTTCAAACTCTATAGGCTGCAGATCTCTACTGACATGGACACTGTGTAAAAAAAATATAACCAGAGAACAGAGATTTTTTTTTTGGCCTGGAAAACTGTTCCTTTTTGGATAGTTTTTTTTTTTCATTTTTGTCCATCTGTTGTTAATTTGATTTGTACTAAAATAAAAGTTCATTCAGGATCATTTCTGTATTTCATTCAGACTCTGTGATATCAGAGAATGATCTGGTTTGACTTTACAGATGTTTGTGACCAAGTGATACATATGGTGTGAATACAGCGTCGTGAAAGGAATCACTATGGTAGTACATGATGATACTGTGTTTATATAAAGCTAACATATGTGTCAGGCCTGTCTGCCTCTCTGCCCTCCCCTCTGTCTCTCCAGGGGTAATTAGTTTCATCACCCCCACCTGTGACCCCTGGTTCTCTGATCAGTCTCACTGGTCTCACCCGGTGGCCTACATACAGTGTCTCTCTCCCTCACTCTGTCTTTGTTGGGTCCTGGGTTTTACTGTTGTTTTCTGGTCCTGCTGTGTATCTCCCTGTGTTCCTTCTGTCTGTGTTCCTGCCTGGCCCGCGTTCCCTGCAGTAACCTCCCTTTTCTAATTTTTTTTTTTTTTTGTGGATTTGCCTGACTGACTGTTCTGGAATTTGGACTTTAAAGAACTGCAACTGATTCCTCTGTTCTACTGCATTTGGATCCTGCCTGCACCACCGTACCCAACAGCCACGCTGTCAATAAATGGTCAGTGAACTGAACGTTAAATCTGCTGCTCATCAGACTCTTAGCAGTTCCATTAGCAGCACTTTAGTATGTATCCAAAACTACCAGAGTTGTTTGTACTAGTTTTTTTTAAATCACTTGCTAAGACATACTTGTGTGCTACTGTATTTACGAAAGGAAAACTTGTTCACCCACTTTTTGTAGATTCCACTTGTCCCGGTTGCATCTCAGTGAATTTGTGTTTCTCCACATTCTCCTCCGAGCTAACTTTGTGTTTCTGTTTGACTTGAGAAGGCTGCAGGGCGGTGCTGGTGGTGGTGCTGGTGGTGGTGATGGTGGTGGTGGGGGGTGCAGTAACAGTAGGGCTGCTGAAGCGCCTGGTGGTTTGTACTAGTGAAGTCATCACTGTCTGTGTGGTCGGAGGCAGAGTTGAACCTGGGAGAACGTTTGACCCCGTCTCTTCTTCTGTGGTTGTAGTAGCAGCCTGCGGGGAAGTCGGCGCAGCATGTGTGGTGATGGAGCGGGTGGAGGTTGGGCCTATAGTCGAGGGCTCTGTGGGTGGATGTGGTGTGGAGTGAGCTGCATTAGCTGTAGTTCTGCCTGAGCTGGTTTGTATTTGCTGGTTGGACTCCAGCGTGGTGACTCCCACGGTGGAGGCTGCTGTGTTTGTTACTGTGAATGCTGGGAGGATTTTCTCTGTGGTTACCATTACTGGGGGATTTCTGTTCACTTTTGTTGTTGGCTCAGCAGTAAAACTTGTAAGAACGCTGGCTTGTCTTTGGGTTCTGGTTTCTTTACTGGTTCCAGCACTGAGACTCTGAGTCATGGCTGTTGTTGTGTCTGTTGTTGTCTGTGAAGCACCGATGCTTTCAAACCTGTCATTATTCCCTATTGTTGTTGGGTCTGTGTTTACGTCTGTGGACCGTAGTGGTGTGGATTCAGTGGTGGAGACAGACGTGTTACGATTGTCCGGTGTCAGATCGGTTCCTTTTGGAACTGCTGACTGACTGCTCTTCTTGAAATGGTGTACAGGAATCGCCGTTCTTGAGAGAAATGTTCGCAGCCCCGTCCTTTTCCTGGGACGAGGGATGGTGTGCTGGAGAAGATTCTCTTCGATGAAAAGATTAATAGGGCCGTCACCACTGAACCCGTGATACTCAAAAACTGTGAAGAGAAAAGGAATCTGAAATATGTTTTTGTTAAATGCTGACAGTGATCATCTGAGCTGTTCAGACAGGACTGAGGATTTGTTTTTTTCACCCTGATCCTCCTGACACTGAGCTGAGGTGAGCGTTATTGTGGCCAGTCTCCAAAGAGCTGACATCCAACAACAACATGTCACGTATTTACACAGACTACAGTTAGTCCTCGGGCCATTGATGTGTTGACAACACACTACACCTTCCCTCACCTCACAATGAGCTTCTACACTTACAGTTCTCTCCAGGTTCTCCATCATCTGCCACCATCGGGTCCGGCTCAGATTTGTAGAAAGTCATTCCTCGGATGATCATGCCATTGGGACCAGGTTTGGACACCTGGGAGGTTTCTTTGTTGGCCAGGGTTTTGAGGGTCACCTGAGGTTTGTCCTCAGAGATACCAGCAGATCCAGATGTCTTTGTCTCTTTCTCATTTTCCTCAGCCTTGTCCTCCTCGTGTTTTTCCTATTAGTGGACACACACACACACACACACAATATCAACGAGGAAAAAATAATGGATGCAGCAATGGGAGGAAAAAAATTGCAACTGGTATTGAGTCACATCATGATTAAAATGAACTAAATCAGGAAGCTAGGAGAAATATAACAGGGTTATGGAGAGTATGCTAATGCTAATAAGAGGAGAGGGGAATAAGGGGAGGGAAAGGGTGGAGAGAGAGTATGTGTACAAAAGCAACAATAAATATACACGTCCATGGAGGAAAACCAAACTTTTAAAGTACTTATGAAGTGCCCAGGCTGAACAATGCCATTCTGTGTATATAGTAGCATGGCGATAATAAACGGGGACGAGACATAAATCCCCATCACCTGGGAGACGTCTTTTAAAAGTTAACACACCGACTGTAGATATAACGTTTCACTGCAGAAGGAAACAGTGTGGGCAGTGACCACTGCAGCTGCTGCAGGTCACAGTCGATCCAGACACAGAGTCTGCAAACTGACAATAATGTTTAGAGCTCAGCCCCTACCGTACAGGTGGCCCATTCACCTCGTTCTCTGTCTCTACTGTATATACCATGGGTTAACCAAGGCTCTGTCTGACACTAAACAAAACCCTGTGTCTGTTGGAAACCTATTGCTCAACTTGATCTTCTCCACTCTTCAAGTGGAGAAGATCTCTGTTTTTATTAATCAGTGTTTTTATGACTAACATCTCTTGCAAAACCTCATGAATCACTTGCATTAAAAAGACTCCCACCCAACACTAGCAGCCATGATAGTTCAAGGCCCAGGCACTGATCTGAGATCTGTCGTCCACTTGAACAGCAAAACCCTTTACTAACCTCAGTCACATTTTTAAACATCCTCAGTCTTCAATAATCTAGACCACACAAGTCAAACTCAGAACTGAATGTGGTCTGCTACATCATTTTACAGCGTGTGGCCCTGTAGAGTTTAACATCCCTCTGGTTGTAACAAGAATACAAATGGATACAGTATCGAGCAGGGGTCACCAACGTGGTGCCTTGGCTCACCTGGTAGCCCCCATGGACTCTGTCCTATCCTATCCTCTGTCCTATCCTATCCTCTGTCCTCTGTCCTGTCCTGTGTCCTATCCTGCAGTATAAAAGAACAGTACCAGTACCATATCTGACCTTCTTGTTGACTAGTTTCATTATTAGAACCCACCCCCGGCCACCACGTTGGAGCCCCCTGCTCTGGAATACTGATGCCACTCTGCTGCTCTACTGACCTCACTGGGTCTCCTTCTGTCCTGAAGCTGGTGTGATGGAGTGGTGGGCAGGGGTTCAGTGACATACGCCTCAGTGGGAGGGGCTTCCTGGGACTTCACCTCATCTGTGGCGTTGTGCAGAGTCACCACCTTTGAGTGCAGTGACAGACAGAAAACAGCAGGTTGAACAGACTCCTCCCCCTTTTCAGAGCTGCTGACTACAGAACAGGTGACAGTCATTACATTGTTTGTTAGCATTCGCTGCTGTAAATACTACTGTTGTCTGCTGCGTTCAGACCCAAAGTCACGTCTATAACGTTTTCCACATGTGAAGCGTCATGGTTTCTGATCGCTGGAGGCTGCACCCAGGCTGCGGACGGATGTGTTTTGTTTTGGAGAATAGGACTTTGTAATTTAATTTGGAAAGAAATGTTTATAAAAATTAAAAAGGGGAGAGTTCCACTTTATCTGATTGGCACATCATGACGCAGGTCAAATAAATTCATTCATCCTGTACGGATTTCTCCCTTGCGGGGAGGGGTCACCAGCAGTCATCAGACGGGGGACCTAGGACGATTCAGTAATGTAGAGGATGAAATTAAAATTAAAATTGAAATCATAACTGTAGAAAATATATTTTAAAAGATGGGGGAAAAAAGATTATTACGTGTCTTATTCAATAATGCATGATTACAAATCAACATGAATTTAATCAACAACTAAATTCCTTTTCTGTGTAAATGCAGAGAGCTTTCAGTGATGTCACTGCAAAAATATAAAATAAAAGTAAAAAACATGGAATATAATCATTTTTTTTATCTGATCCCTTACTTTTGAGAAATAAGAGAACTCTCAGGCCTCACCAGACAAAAACAACAAATTGTGATGTCATCATCTTTTTTAAGTGTCATTATTATTATTAATACCAATAATCTAATTAGAGTGAGACCTTCTGTTATCAATAAGAAAACCAGTTTGAGTCTTTTCACTTGTTATAGTGTAATATTTTGTGTGTTATAGTGTGACCCTTAGGTCACATGTGTTTTCTGTTTGGTATGAATATTTTTCATTTATAATTTGTCAAGGGTGTTGTGTTTGGTGACTTCAGCAAAGTCTCTACAACTCCACCTCAGTGTGACACTGTCGTCTTCTCCCTGTTCTCTGGCTGCCTTGGGTTAGATTCCCGAACCCAGGTCATGGTTTGTGGATGGCTGTGTTACAGAGCCTTGACAAAGGACTAAAGTTGTTTGTTTTTTATTGGCATGAGCTTCTAACTTTTTTCACACACAAATCACGATGCAGAACTGTCATTTTAAAAAAGCATCCCCGTTATGAGTCAGAGTTTTCCACTTCCCTCTGCCTGACACATTGTTTTACAATGCTGCTGCTTCAAACACTGGGAAGAAAAAGTTGAAACTGATGCAACGACATGAGCTGCCAAACAACGGATCAACAGCCAATCAACTATAATCAACTTCTGATTGCCTTAGTTAGTCACTGTGTTTTTTTGTATGTTGACCTGACTGCTGTGTCATATATCTATAATATTTACTGATTTAACAAATATAGCTCACAGAATAGTAACACTTGCAGATAAGGTCCAATGGTGGTCTCCTAGTTTTATTTTGGAGGGACCACAATATATTTTTTTTTTTTTTACTGAAGTTAAGTTCAATACCAACTCAAGAAACTAGCTAAAATAAAACAACCTGATTACTGGGCTATATATATATATATATATATACTCTTAGAAACAGACTTTAGAGTTTCTTTGTTTTGCTGTAATGAACTATAATGTCAGTCCTTAATTAGAAATTGTCTCAAATATTTACCTTTTCGATATGATCCACTCGATGCAGGAGCTTGGTGGTGATGGAGTGCAGCTTCAGGAGATCCATGCCATAGAAGGACCCCTCCAGGAGCTCCAGGATGGTGGAGAGCTAAAACAGTCAAGTGGAACCCGTCAACAGGGAGGTTTCAGAACGATATATACCATTAAAATCCAAACAGAAATGACAAGCTGTCTCCAACTGAGTTTGGCCTCCTGTGACCCAGTCCTCTCTGGACGGGAGGACACACCACTGCAGGCTGTGACAGATGACGAGGCTTCACCTTGACGTTTTCTTTCCCAGCCTGCTTCAACATCTTCAGCCTGAACTCGCCCTCGCACGGGTTGACCGCTGACGGTGGAGCGATGCAGGCGCACTTGCATTGCGGTCCAGATGTGAAGGTCTCCACGGTGTAGAAGTCCTGCGCCGTGGCGCTGCCTTCTTCTATCCGACGACAGGCGCTCCTGCTCAGGGGTCTGACAACACATTTACAGCGACAGTCTGAGCCTTCCGACAGGGCTTTCACTTTGTCATAATCACCGAGCAGCTACGAAGAGAAGAGGACGCAGCAACACAATGATGAAACATCCATGTGAGGAATTCAGTGCAGGTGTAAAAGACCGTTTCCTCCTTACCTTCGAAAGGATGTTCTCCTGGTCGTCGGTCTCCTCCTGAAGCCTGGGGTTGTCGTCGTCGTCGTCGACCTCCGGTGCCGTGTTATTAACGGCCCTTGGCACAGCAGAGCACCGTGCGTAAAAGGCACAGCACAGAACCACCAGGACGCACAGCCTGTGCATGTTGGAGAAGTATAGCGCTACTGATGCAGGTGGGCTGTGCAGGCAAGAGCCTGTTACTGATTAATCAATCCTCCAATCAAAGTGCATAGCTCCAAAAATCAGAGATGTGTGTCCAGAATGACACCAGAGCCGGTTACGCATCACTGAGCCGTGCCATCGTCTTCTTAGGCGCGGTGGACACAGGGAAGCTGAGAGGCTGTGGAGAAAGAGGGGGAGAGAGAGAGAGTAAGAGAGACGGCGTTGACAGACTGCATTTTAAATCTTTTGCAGCCCGTTGCAAGTTGACCCAATCAGTGTTCATTCGGCTTTACGCATTCAACTAGAGATTTGCTGTCCCCTGTCGGCAGCAACGTCCTGTACATGTCTGCAAAGCCCACTGGCAATCTGAAAATCATAAACCCTAAAAAATTAAAGTTTTCCTGCAACAGTGACGTCGTGATAATGATATTGCAAACTGAAAAAAACATATAAAATAATAATAGTATGACTTTATTGAATAAACTGGTAATTTGGCGAGATATTTAGGTATAAAGACTCACTCTTTGCATCAAACGCCTTGTAGGAATTGTTTGTCAATGTAAAAATAATATAATTCGGCCCAAGACATCCAATAATTTGCACTTTTTTGCAGTATGGTCTGTGGATGTTGTAATACTGGCTGTGGAACAGGTGCTGCAGTCCAACTTTGTCCCAGGACAGTGAAGGCATCTAAAATATCAACAGGAGGGCAATGACAACAAGTAAATATACACAAAGAGCCCCTTCTTTAACCACCTTTATTTATTTTGCACTTTAAGGCACATTTTGGTAAACCAGTAGTGTACTTGTGTATACAGAAACGGATAAATAAAGCTGTTATTTTAAGGCACGTGATGGGGTGATGTGGGTTTAAAAACCTGTCATGAAAAAGAGCAGAGTCTGTAATGTTTAAATGGTTTGTTTAAAGTATAGATCGCAGAAATTAGAATTACTCATAATTTATGAGTGAATTTATGGTGATTTCAGTGTTGCTGCCCTCTGCTTTCATTTTCTCCTTTTACCCCCAGAAGTGTTACAGGAGTGACATAAAAATCATGGCATTCAAAGTCTGCACACTGTAGTAAAAAACAAAGGTTTAGGTAAGTTTGGGGCAGCAGTACTTTTTCTATTTATGGACATAAATTACCAAGGTTTCTAAATAATGTGCTTATGATCCTTGAACGAAAGAATTTCATTAAATATCTTACCAAATTTACACATATCACAGTAGTTTTTTTTTAATCGGAACTACACATTTAAAAATTCCACAACCAAAGATGAATAATTTACAACTAGTTTACAGATGATCGTGTCATAATAAAGTGCCACTGTGTTTTATGAAACATTTATAATGACAGATGTCCTCAGAAATATCTGAAAATTACCTCAAACATACTTCTTCCTATTGTCTAATAACTACCTCATGACCTTCACTTGAGCTACAATATGGAACAACAACTTTGGGATGTTGGGACAACCGCACTACAAAGAGAACTTCAGCTGACTTCCCCGCTCTAGCAGCCCTGATGTTCTACCCTTGTCTCTGCTGCCACCGGGAGGATGAGGTGTGAAATACGGCTCCACAGTCCACTGTACTTGTCCAGGTCCATTCTGTCAAAGGACACGGGGAGGCTGCTGGTGAGGAATTTCTTCTTGAGATGATCGTCCACCATTTCTTCTACAGAGTTTAGATGGACCTTTCCAGGAATCTCGTCATCCTCCAGTAGCACTGTGAAGATCAGAACAGTCTGCTTGAATGCTGCATTCTCATGGTCACAGTAACGATAAAAAATGAGCGTGGAGCCTGGAGGCAGCTCCTCAAAGCGGTGAATGACGGCCACAGGTTTGTCTCCTTCAAAGGCTCCTTGTAACTTGTTGTCAATGTCCAGTTTGACCTGGTCGCTGTCCTGGCTGGCTGCGCTGGCTCCATCAATGTTAAGGACGGAGGCATTGACGGCAAAGGAAAAGGCTGAAGCCAGGCCTTGGGCCAGACAGTGCAGAGTCCTCTCGGCTCGGACACCAGCAGTTAGAATGAGGTTTACAGGCGCCGTGGGTTGAGCCGTCTGCAGGTGCCGCTTCAGGTGGATCCTGCTTCTGGTCCAGAACTCAGAGCGTTGATGAGGGAACCGTGTCTTCAGTTTATCCATCTGCCCAAGGAGGAGGTCTACACTGTTTAACTGAGGCGGGGGCCCAGGCTGCTGAGGAGTCATCAGAAGAACAGCAACCAGCACTAAAGCCAAGCCCATTACGTACATGGAATTTCCTGCAAACAAAACAAATAATCTGATGGTAAGTGAGTCTTTCTTAGGTGAAACAAAACAAACTGTGTGATGTTATTATATTATACAACAGTTAAAACAGGTAGATACCATGAATCAATTAATATCTGACATAACTTAAATATTAAAAACATGTATTTGTCAGCTTAAATAACAATTAACAACGTTCGATTTACCTTTGATAAATTTAGCCAATGTCGTTGCAAACTCTGTTTTTTCCTCAGCGATGGGGCCAATGGTTTGAACTTTAGGTCTTTGCTTGTGCGACATCTTATCGCTTTCTTTCTCCTCCTGCTCGGAGGAATCATTCTCTTCTCCTTTTCCATCATCTGACCAAGTCACAAAAAAAGAAACAAGTATAAACGTGGAGTAAAACATCAAACAAAACATCTAATATTGCTGTTTGAAATATATTGCACATCCATCGGTTCCTAGTGTCATGAATTATTCTTTTACGTTCTTTCCTGGAGGACTGAGAGTGAGTACTGGACAATTTGAATCAGTTTTTCATTCATTTTATAATTAATATCATAAAACAATCATTTATCTTAACTAATATTGTTATCTATTTAAGATTACTTTTTACTGTGTCCTAGAGTACTGTGTACTGCTCTTGGCCAGGTCACCCTTGTTAAATGGACCTTGAACTCTGATTAAATAAAGGAAACTGAAAGTGAAACAATCTTGAGGGCTTAGAAACCTCAGTCACACCCTGGAGTAAAACTGTTTTTTTTTTTTTATTGTAATGTAACTGGCACTGAATGTAGGAATCATGTGCAGTCAATGTTCAATTTGGGATGTATTTGAATTTGGTCCCAATGTTGTTGGAAGGGAACTATTAAAATAAATGACTTTAGCAACATCCTGGACCTTACCCTCTTCTGCTGAAACATTGGTGCATTTGACAGATGATGACTTTGTGTATGAAACAGCCTCAGGTTGGTCCACTTGGTCAACAGCTTGGTCATACATCCACTGTGAACCGGTCGCTTCTAGATCTTCCTTCTGTCTAGTTAGGCTTTTTGCTACAGAGTAGGAAAAATCTCAATTTAAAAAAATATTTTTTGCACTTTTTAAAAAATAGATAATATAGTTTTGCATCAAAAAACAAATATATGGTGAGGAATGATGGTCTGAGTATTGTAACAGCATAAACAAGGCAAGAGTACTCTGATGCAAAAAAAACAAAACCCCTTTTGGAATGATAACTGATTTTTTTTCTATTTCTTATGCCTATGTTTTCCTTAATTAAATACAATGAATTAAAAGTAATCACTAATTATGCTACTGTATTAATATATACTGTAACTATTTGCCTGTGTTGCTGCATTTTCTCCTCTTTTCTACCTTCCTTTCTCCCTTCATTCCTCCTTGAGCAGAGCTGTGATTCTTCAGAGTTTAAATAGCACAAACATAGCTGTCCCTACAGTCTCTGCTGAAAGCAGAAACAATAATAAGAACTCAAATATCAAATCAAATTTTACACTCAAACAAATAAGGGGGTTCAGCGTTACCTTCTTCAGCTCCGACATGTGTGGGTTTTTCTGAAGACAAGTGTGTATTCTGTTCAGCATTGGATCGATCTGCCGTGTTACCATCCTGGTCCTCCTGACAGGTTGAACCAGTTGCTTCTGACGCTGCTTCCTTCTCCACTGAGAAACAAGATGAATAGAAGTGTATATTAAGAAGAAAGCTGCCTGTCAACACATAATCACAATTAGTTTCCTCACCAGAGTCATTTACAACATTAATAGTTGCAAACTGTTATGGATGTGTTCACCACTACAGGTTTGGTTACTTTAGTGAACAGCTGTTAAAAGCATTGCACTGCTACAATTTTTTCAGCTGGTCCAGTTTTTGTTAACAGACCGCAGCAGCAGCACAAGTCAGTAAGAAGAAATGACTCTCATTACACAAGACTTTAGAGACTTACAGTGTCCTTTACTTACGCTCTTTAACATCTGATGGACTTTCCTCATGTGGAGGAGGTTCTGTTGTAACGGCTACAATTTCATCTTCAAGTAAACCACTGCCTGTAACAAAACATGTCAACAAGGTCAAAGTCTGTTGCACAATTTCAGCTCTCTTTTACGTCACACTTGTGTAACATAAAATACCTCTGATGTACTTCTTACTTTACGTATGTGTAGTAAGAAATAGCTCTGTTGTTGTTGTTCATACAAGTCTAATAACAAATTCTGCTGTTGTACTTTTTACATTACATGACAAATGACAAAAATTACAGTCAGTTTACTTACTTTTTACGTCGGCCAGGCTTGTATCTTTACCGTTGTCACTTTTACTTCCTCTGTTTGCAGGTGCAGACGATGAAGCAAAATCTTGAGCAAGATGGAAAACATTTACTGCAATTAATTTGAGCAGTTTCACAGAGTTCATTTTTGCGTTTTGACTGGTATGACTGGTACCTCCTTGGTTTTGATGCTCCAGCGAATTCTACCTCCTTGGTTTTGATGCTCCAGCGAATTCTTAGCCTCTTCCTGTTTGTCTTCTTCACGTGATGGAACAGAGTTCATATTTTCTACATTTATTGTATCACCTGGAGGAAATATGCAGAAAATATGTTTAAACTCTGTTCCTTAAGAGAACGACTGACATCTTTTGTCAGATAATACTGGTGTATGTTTTGGTACCTGACGTTTGCTGCAGGATGGAATCTCTGCAGTGTTCTTCCATGTTTTTATTTGGGGACACTTCACTTCAGTTCAAGGCTGCATAAAACAAATGGCTTTTTTATTTTATTAATAAAACAACTCAGATACTGTCCGTGTCACACGGTCATAGTCCAAAATTCTGATGTAGTGAGATATCATTACATAAAGGTGTGGCATGACAGCCAACGTCTTGTAATTGTACTTTAAACTATCATTAAACTTTGAAATATCCTAGATTCAAGGGACACTAAACACTGCAGACCAGCTACGAACATGTTTTAAAATGAAATTTCAATGGTAGCAGAGCACATGCAGGTTGTCAAATCAAGTTTTTCAGATTTAAAAATGACTACGACCCAAACAACAACAAAATGACAGCTACGACAAACAGACAGTTACCCACAGCAATGAGAGATGAGGCACGAATATTTACATTTATTGAACTTTTTCTACAAATATGGCACATTAGACATTATTAATGGATGCTCCTCCAGAAAAACATTATATTTTGTCAAAGAGATAATTACTTTTTTTAAATATAAAGTTGTGTTGGATTGTTTAAACATTCCTGTTCCTATTCCACGCCCCAACATAAAAATAAAGTAGTTGGAAAGGAAGTTATTAAAAAAAAATCATACAGCCTGCATTGGCCATACAACAAAACAAAACAGGCAGTTGACAGGCTGTAGCACACAAACACACAAAACACGCGGTCACTTTCTAACACAGCCACCTCAAAACATACAAAAACATACGTGACATCATATATGATGCAATAAAGGTAATCAAAAGGACAAAAAAGCCCTAAGGCATACTGGCATCAACGTCACGTCTACGTGTTATGTCAGGTTCCCACGCTAAATGTAAGGCTTTAATGCAACATTAAGTTAAAAATGTAACGGTAAAAATATCGTGGACGAAGGAAAGACATGATTACGATAAGAAAGGGACGACGTTGAGGAAAAGCGACGGTTAGAAGAACCGAAGGAACAAGTAAAAGCAGTCAACAAACAAGCAAAAAGATATTGAAAGTAGGTAAATAATCACCGAACAAAAAAAAGCAAACATGACACGTTGTTATAGAAAACTAATTGCAGGCATAAAATATTAAGACACCTTTCGCTCAAAGGCTGTTTAACTGGTAAACAACGTACATTAAATATAGCTTCGATAGCTATCAGTTAGCAACGCAATACAAGGTTATAATCTACATAAATGTCGATGAGTGAATGAAATAAAACTCTACATGCATATTTATAATTATAATTCCTTACCACTATGTCATTGATCACATCGCCTCAGAAACTGACCTATGTACTTGTTTTTTACTGAACTCTTGGTCGCACCTTTGCACACCAGTCAGAGCTCAGGGCGGAACCCTAATTTCTGGCATGTTTCCGATGGGAACACTTCCGGTTAACGCAGTCATACGGTCCCAATCTTTCAGGTTCTTATTCATAGAATATGTTTCTTTCAGAGTTTGTGTCTAACCCATGGTTTTGGCTTCTGCAGGTCTCGTTGTGAGCAAAAATGAAATCTGAAAATACGGAGCCTCGGGCTTTGAGGAGATCGGCACGACAGGCGTCCAGCCGAGGTGAGCGCTAGTAACACACTCTGCTTTAGCCTTAATGCTAACTTTAGCTCCCGCAAAGCTTTAAAACAAAAACACTTGTAGTACATGCCTTGAGTAGTGCTTAAGCCTAACAAGTTTAGATTATTTGAATCCTGTAAAAGTACAGCGATCGTTTTCATTCGACATCGTCTGTTTTCATTCAAAACACTTGTTGGCATGTCTGGTTTAAACCCAAACCCAACTCAAACATGGTCATCTCTCCACTGTAGCAATTCGTTATGAACCGACCCCCAGGGGTCCACTGAAGAGAACCAAAAAAACTCCTGTAAACAAAGCCCCCGCTCCCCCCGCCGTGGTCAACGGTTCCAAAGAAAAGGAGGAGATTGTAGAAGATGGAGGTGAGATGCTCCACATATAATTGCTAAGCTTGTATTGTAAGTCCCCACATAGTGCCCGCATAGTGAAGTGACACTTTATTATTGATTACTTTAAAACAGAGAGATGGATTTATTTCATTTAGCCGTTTTAACAGTTTATTAATACAAGCCATATAACTACACACCGCGTCAACCTTGTTTTTTAAGGTCTTCAACAATAATTCAAATGGTATCCCATCTACTACTTTCTTTTGTCCAAAAGTTATTTTAAACTTGTTTTACAGTCTCCCCTAACAAGAAGAGTCGACTGGAGACAGAAGGAGCAGTGGACAGGAGTGGTGACGAGAATGAGATGGAGGTTCAGAAGCCAACTGAAGCTGTGAATGATAAGGATGAGGAAATGGATACAGAGATAAAAGATTCCACCCATCCCACTCATCCGAACAAACCTTTTCAAGGTAACGGTTTTTGTAGTTTTATTTATTTTTTTACTGTTAAGAATATAATGTTAAGTTTTGGGGTCAGTTGTACTTATTTCCTGCAACTTGTAATTTGCAAATCTCCACCTACTTTATACCACTGTCAACTGAGGATAATGAGGAACATGTTCTGATGAGTTTTGACAAAGCTAAAATAGTTTCATATCTCTACACAGGCCCAGCTGGAGATTTTAATGTATTTCCTCATGTGGTTCTCCGTGAACGCTGCCAGCCTCAGGCTATAATTGGGGATGCAGATCTGCCAAAAGTAATACTAGGTATGAATGTGTCACAATTCTATATAAGAATTCTGTTTACATTCAAATTAGATATTTCAGTTATCCTGTTCTGGATTGTTTGTGTTTAGAGCGACCACGAACCAAAAAACCTGCAGCTTCCACCAAGTCAGCAGAGCAAGTCAGACCACCAGTAAGCAGATATGACATACCAGTCACTAAATTCAGTGTGGCTGACTACCATGACAAGCTGGGGTCGATACCCAGGGCAGGTAGTATTATTTATTTTTCATTGATAATCCGATGTATGTGCCAGAAAAATCCAGTGTGTAAGTCTTCTTCTAATTTCTCTTGACATGAATTCATTCTTCTCTCCCTCATCAGCTGTCAAGCCAAGTCTGTATCAATCATCAGAGAAATCCAGCACAGTTCACCATCGTTTAAATCTCATTCCTAAACACAAAGAACCTGTTCCACGCAAGAAAGGTCTTGCACTTTTTTTTTAACTGCATTTCAATCTTGACATAATGCAAAATGGCTGTGACAGTTTCAACAGTAAACTAAAATGACTTTCCTTTGCAGAACTGTTAAAGAAAACAAATATCATCAAGACAAGTCCTGGACATTCCTATAGAGGTAATTATAAGATTGCAATTTAAAAGAGTCAACATTCCTACATATCTGCAGTACCTTATTGCAATTAACTACTTCCAGGGTTCATGTGGTATTTATGGTGTGTGATTCTACTGATGCTGATGAGTTCTGCTGTCTTGCTGGTGTACATGAAAACTCTTGTCCATCAAAGGGTCACAAATGAGGAAAGGTATTTAACCAAGACTCCAAACACAGAAATGTTTGCAGTGCAATTTTCAGTTTTGGAGGCTCAGTTTGTCAGTCAGCGCGATGAGTTGTGGAGACGAAGCAAGATCCACCTGGAAAAGCACCTTAGAACAGCTGAGCCCACAGAACCAGTGAGTCTGATCATTACTGCCGGACACAAGGCTGAGAAAACACTGCAGTGTCTGGCACAAAAAATGGCTTCCTCCTTCTCATCTGCCCTCAATGGCAGTGTGCTCCAAATTGATGGAGTCAGTAAAGCAGGCCAAAACAGTGACCAAGTAAAACTGGACATTGACAGACAGTTGAAGGAAGCCTTTGAGGGTGATAAACCCGTGGCAGTTATCCATCGCTTTGAGGAGCTGCCTTCTGGGTCGACCCTCATTTTCTACCGCTACTGTGACCACGAGAATGCAGCTTACAAGCAGGTGTTTTTGTTGTTCACTGTACTACTGCCTCAGGACGAAGTTAGCAGCCAGCTGCATCTGAATGATGTGGAGGAGATGGTGCAGGACTACATCAAAGACAGGTTGGTGGGTTCAAGCAGCCAAAGTTCCTTCAATGAGATGGACACTGACAAATTTCCTGGACTGTGGAGCCGAATCTCACACCTTATTTTGCCTGTGGTGTCTGAGAAGGAAATTGAGCAGAAAGGATGCTGAACAGGATACACTAGGAACCAATGTGAACAGGTGATTCTTTCCACATACAAACACACATAAAATTAAAGTATTTATGCTGGAACTGTCCACATAGATGTGTTGTAAAGATGTGGTATGCAGTCATTTTCATGTATATGGAAAGTATTTGAAAATTCATTTAGAATTCCCTTTCCCCCATTCTGCTTTAAAGCCAGTTGTTGCTTGAGTGCGCTGATATACTAACGTTATGAATAAATTCTCCTTAAACATTTTTTCAATAGGAAATAGTCTTCAGTCAAAGAAATAATTTCTACTGGAGGAAGGGCACAGTAAGGGTGTGTTAACATAGTATAGTGAGTCTCCAGTCATATGTGTGGCTGCAGCAGCACTGGGACAACAATGTCCCATTGCTGTACTTTAATGAAAATGGAAAACTTTCCACCAACTCTCTAATAACCTATAGTTAGGGTCTGACACTGGGTTTTCTCTAGAAATGTATTTCACTTTACAATAATCTGTCTTCATTGAGGTTATTTTTTGGTGTTAAATTAACCAAAGCAACCACATCAAATTGTTGTTTACACTTAATTTATTGGGGAAAATGTCTGCATACTATATCTAAAAGGTTTTGGAATCGCTTTAAGCTTTCTTTCAGAGAGACCACATTTAGTTTTCTACCCCAGTTTTAAATGTGTACACTGGGTTTTTGTAGTGATCATCATCATCTTTGCATTTCCAAATCAGGTGAAGTGTATATTCTTATGTGAAAAAAAAATGAATAAGAAATATTTGATTCAGTCTGTTTAGCATACATTACCATCATGTAAACAATTTCTCTAAGTCATTCTTTAAGATATAAAAATAATCTTTTTTTACATGTTTATTATTCTGTGATATATTTTCACAGTTTCGATTGATATACCGGAATGTTTTGGGGGTTTTTTGGTACAATTTGCACTTGAAAGATTTTAATTTGTCACTTAGTCAGCAATAGAACTGACTTTTAAAAAGAAAAAAATATTTTGAAAAAAAAAAAAAAAATCTCTGTTGTCTGTGTATATAAACCAGATACAGTTTGTTATTTTCTAAGAAATAAGCAATGGCATAAAGAAAAATACTGAATTTACTGGTAAAATATTTTCAGCAAGAAACCACAGGTTCTAAAGTTGTACAAACATTTTGAGCAAGTTTCACAAAATGTGCCTTAAACACTGTGTCAGCAGCACAAAAAATGTGTCATGTGATCCAGTATGTCACATTGATGAGGTATATTATAGATTGTGTATTTGATAGTGAAATTCTTTCCTGTTTTTTTTAATTAACATTTGCCAGAATCTGGATATTTTCAATAAAGATTATTTTGATATAATGCCACATTCCCATCAATCCATCCGTTTTCATCCGCTTATCCATTACCAGGTCGTGGGTACAGCAGTCTCCATGACTGCCACCCAAATCACACTGCACCGTACCTACCCCCCGACCCTTCCTGCGGGTGGTGAGTCCACTGGAAGACGCCAACCGCCCTAACCGGGAATCAAACTTGCCCAGGAGGTGAACCCTGGGGTTCCACACCAATGACAGAGACATGGCCTCAGGGCCAAAGCACCACAAAACCACATTTAGGTTTTCATTTTTTTATTTTCAGTCAGAAAGTTTTTTTTTATTGATAAACAAAAGGGTTAACAAAAAGACGCAGCAACTGTCACTTTCATTGACCTCATGATGAATGCATGAGCCTTTTTTGCAGAGAGCATTCTTTCCATAGACAGGTACTGTTTGTGAGATCACGTGTGACCGAACACAACCTCACAGTGACTAGAATGAGGAAGTAGGAAAAGGTTAAGTAAATGTAGGGTGTATCTTCCCCTGACACAAGCAAATGTTGTGAAAATCACATTATAGTTTTACATTCTCTGTGACTGAACCTACTGCTTGATTGTCCTTGATGTCTTATCTGCAACATTTATCTTTGGTTTATGAGTGAGTCAGTGTGCAGTGATATAAATGGAAGCTTTCCTTTTTATGTTGGCATCAGTAGAAAATGAGAAAAAAGTAAATAACAAAGGGAGGGTGTTCATATTGGAAAATGTCCAGATGATTATATTGCTGAGAAAGAAAATAGAAATCAGGTAACAATTTAGAAAAATATTTGAAAAATAATTCAATATCAATTGAATTGATGCCAGGAAAATATTTCTTCATATATGTTTAGATTCTTATATTTCCTTAATTATATTGTTAGAGCATTGTCAGTTTATATACTATAAGGTTTAAATACAGGGTGTGGCATTAAAATATATACACTTTCAGTGCTGATGATGATAAAATCTTTAGTTACTGGTAAAATCATTTGCTGTTCCTTTATTGGCACAAATGAAAGAGCACTTTTTTTTTTACAGTGTTACAGAGTTTTACAATTTTCTTTTAAAATAACACGCAATTGAATATCAAACAGTTCAAAACAGTTCAAAACAGAGTGTAATATGACACAATACACTCAGCAAGTCAATGTAAAAACATTTTACTTAAAAACATTAAGTAATTAACAAGAAAACAATGTACATACCTCTCAAGAAATGACAAAAGAAGAATTTACTAAATATTATGGCTTTCAAAATGAACTAACTAATGTCCTATAATTAATTTGTGAAACTTACAAAACAAAGTAAATACAAAATAGCCATACAAAATAAAATGCAAATGACACTGAACTAGCACAATGATCCTTGTGAGGCGAGGTTCTGCAATCCAACCTGCTGTTCATCAACCCGACTTTTCCGCCTGTACATGTGACGCAGCAGTGACTTCAGATGGCTCCTGAACCTCACACCGACAAATGCATAGAAGACAGGGTTCAGACAGCAGTGGGAGAAAGCGATGAGCCGACACACATGGAAAGCATAATCCAGCTGTTTGCTCACTTTACAGGAGTCAAATGGCTCCACCATGTTGTCGGACAGAGTCTTCAGTAAGATGACCAGGTTGTACGGAACCCAGCCAATGAAGAACACAGCAACGATGCAGAAAATTAGCTTCACAGCTCTGTTCTTCGTGTGGGATCTCCTCTGTGTGATCTTTCTTAGAATCTGAATGTGGCAGAAACCCATCACTGCAAAGGCAAGCAAGAAAAAAATATTCTGTTGGGAGATGCGACTGATTTCCCACAAAGTGTCTTCATATTCACAGCCATAGGAGTAGGACTCTCTGTGTGGGATCTGGATGACTGAGCTGTAGAGCAGGGAGGGCATGGCCGCCCCAATGCTGATCATCCACATCAGTACTGACAGAAACAAGCCAGTGCAGCGTCTTTTTGTGCTGAGTTCAGAGAGAGGGTGAACCACAACCACATACCTGTACATGGTCATTATAGTTAGACAAAGAATGCTGCTGTAGAATCCAATGAAGAAGACAAAAGTCACTATTTTACAGAGAATATCTGGAAGCAGCCATCCCCAGATGTGGTAGAAGGCCCAGAAAGGGAGACCAGCGGTGAAGACGAGGTCAGAGATGGCCAGGTTCAGGATGAACACGTTGGTTATGGACTTCATCTTTTCATACAGAGCCAGGATGACAAGAACAAGGATGTTTCCTGTGAGGCTCAGTGAGATCACAACAGAGAAGAAAACAGGAATGGCGATGGATGTGACTCTGACTAGATCATCTTTGTCACAGACTTCATCTTCAACAAGGCTGTAATTAAAGGAGTCATTCATTGTTGCTTGATTGACCTAGTGAGAGAAAAAAGAAAGATTAGTTGCCTATTTGACTAATTTCTGTAATTTCCCAGGTAGTATTTACATCACAACATTTGAGAAAAACTGTGCAAAATAACGAACCTTTTCTGTCTCTACACCTGCGTTAAAGTTGGAGGATAATGTCTAAAATAAATGTCACTGAGTGGCTTTTATACTCATGACACAAAAGGTTCTTTCAGTTCCTTGTTTTAGAGAATAGGGATCTATTTTGCATATATAACACCAGCAATACATTAATCCCTTTTATTCTCATCGTTTATCACAACAAATGTTTATCATGTGAATGAACTGTTGAAACGAAATGAGAACAGATACTGGAGATTCAGTGTTACACTTTCAAAACTTTTTACACTAACCCATTGGAAAATCTAATCCCCCCAAAATACAGAAACTGAAATGTTGTCGCTTTTACTGAATAGCCAATGTTGCTGAAGTTCTGGACCCCGTTTGTTCAACATGCAGGAGCCTTCCTTCAACCATCGAGTCTGCCTTTTGACACTTTAATATTAGCTGGTGTTTTAAATATACCAGGTGATTTAAATGGTGCACAAATACATTCCATTTTCTCCCTTTCCCTCTGCAAGCTGTAAAGAATATATATATTTTCTTTGTATGTTTTACAGACAAAAATGCTCACATATTTTAATTGTCAAAGCCTTTACACACTGAAACCCTGTTACAATTCATAATCACCCTGTGTCTCAAAGGTTTGTTGAGGCCTAGCCCTTAACCAATGATTGTGTAAGTGGGTTTTATATTAATCACAGAATCCAAAGATTAACACTGACCAACCCCTGGTCCAACCCCAACTCATATTGGTGCGTGAATGATACAATGGTTGAAGAGTTCTGCTTTGCACCTTTAGGAAACACAACTTTTGATATTAAAACCCTCACTGTCAATGCCTCAGCTGCCACAATTAGTAATGCAGGTTGCACCTGTCTGAAAACAAAACCAAAACAATTTGTAAAGATTGTAGGGACTTACCAAGTTTCTCACCACATTAAATGAACACTTCCTTCACCTGGTTGTTACAGTTTGTAAAGCATCATATAAAATCCATTGAATGAAAATCAGTACACTAACTGTATGTGACCCATAATTGTTGATACAGAGTTGTCACCAGCGGTAAGTTTAAATTATATAATATTTTTGAATATGCTATTTTAAAGTCTTTAAAGCTGAGTTTCAAGTTTTTTTTCTATGTACTCCTTCTCCCCCAATTATCAATTTAATAGTATTGCAAAATGAATAAAAGCTATCACAAATGGTAGACTCAACATTATTTTTCTTAATTCAATTTTTCCATACTATGTCAGCACTTTATACTACTACTCAAAAAAACGTCCTATCCCAGCTGGTGTTATTTTACCATCTGCTATACTATATATTTAATATAATATTAATATACTTAATATATTTAAAGCAACGTTCAATGTACAGTTATATGCTGCGGTTGGTACAGTTATGTATATATGTTAGCTTTCTGTTATCATTAAAACACAAAACAAAACATATAGGGTTTGTTTGCCAATGTAAAAGCAATTTTTTATTAATTATTTTGGTGACCTGCCTGTAAGTAATAATATAACGTATTAAAAGTGTTTTTTCGACCTGCTGTTGAATAATATATATGAAATATATATGAATATGAAATTTAAATTAAAAAACAAAACAAAACAATGCTGCGATCAGACGTGACCTAAACAAAGGATTACAGTAAAGTGGGTCACGTTATAATGAATGTCACTGATCACATGACACATCTGTTTACGCCTTTACCTCAACTAAACACCATCGCATTGACCCGCCCATTTACTGCCCAATCATTGGTCGGGAAAACGAGTGCACCTTTTTCGTTGGCTGATGTAATGTCCATCAAACCACTCTGAGCAAGTTTGTATGCGAGAACTAGCGAGTTGAGCAGTAAAAATCCCCAGAATTTTAAAGTATGTTTTCTATTCCGGTTTAACACTAAAAATCGTCCAGAGAAATATGACAAGTATTAAGCTGGGGCTTTAAGGTCACTCAAGATGGCTGACAAGTGATCTGTGTTATGGTAAACACAACAGAACAACAACCTACAAAGGTCGTCTATAAAAACAAAAGTTCATAGGTGAGTGGGTTTTTGTTCAGAAATGTAAAAACCTTGTCTTATTACAGTTGGTACTAAGGTTTAGTGTTGTTCCGATGAGTTTGAAGTCACGGTTAAAAACATTTCTGGCTGTTGGTTTTACCATTACAAATTACAAAATAATGCCGTCAATATCTCTTGTAACTTCTAACTTCATTCTGTTCGATTCAAGAACAACGGTTATGTAAATAATAATAACATTTCTTTTATTATTATTCGCTGTAGTGCTAGTATGTACACTGTACAAAGCCGTTAATTTGTTGTTATTTTTGTGTTCGTTTGTGTGTCTGTGATGATATTTAAGAATATGATGAAAATGACGCAAAGGAATATTTTATATCTGTTTGTATGGATTTGCAAAATGACCGTTTTATCGTTCCATTACATTTTTACTTATGATAATGAACGTACATATTTAGATTAAATTCAAATGGAAAACCTTTAACAACAAGTGGTCTGAACCATTTGGGCAGCAGCAGCTGCTTCTGTATTTAAAGTCTGTGGTTTACTATCTTAGTCGCTGTTTTAAACTGACAGCTTTAATTTGGCCAGCAGTGGCTGTAAGAATGATTAGTGGCCTCTCATAACAAATGGTGGAATAAGCTTTTCATAGGTGACCACACAAATCACTTACAGAAGGATAGCAATTGGCAGCCACATGGCCAACATGTTCTATAGATCATTGTTTGCAAAGGTCTAATTGCAAAAATGCAAGACATAGTTAAATTTACATTCATATGCATCCGCTATTGTCAACATGTCTGTCAGTCTTATATACTTTTGTCTAAATCAATTATACAAACTATGTGAGACTACTCATGACTGTCGTGTTTGTTCGTTGCTAATTTTGATTTTCTGATTCAGCAGACTGTATGTGACCGTGTGACCCCTGGTTGCCAATATGGCCATGGCTACGGGGGCTACTGTTGCAGAGAGTCAACTCCACAGGATTATCAGAGATCTTCATGGTATGTGTGTGCGTTTGTTTGTGCGTGAGAGTGTGTGAATAGAGCCGAAGCAGGCACTCTGTGAATTGCATGGTGTGAAAGAAAAGAAGAAAGTGGAGGCAGTAGCGCAGCAGTTTTGTTGCTAAGACGTATTAGATCTTTTAGTTTGATAACACGTGATATTTTTTGACTAAATCCATCAGGGATCACATACTGTCTTGTTTGTAAAGTAGGTGTGTAGTAGAAGCTTTTTGTCAACACACAGCGAAAACAACTGTGTGTGAGAAGGATGCATTCATCACAGGTTTCATTCCAGTTTTTACGGTGGATGAGAGGCAAGATTTCAATTTACTGCCTGTTCAAAATGACATGTTGGTTTTTATGAAGAAAATTAATAATTTAAATTTACACCTGAATTGTCATGTGTGATTGTAGTTAAAAACAGGGTAAACTTTAACAAATCGTATCATATTTTTAATGCCTTGGGGTATTAAAAACAACAAGTTATCTTGTTTCTATGGTGACGTTAATTCAAATATTTTTTGTTATTTTAATTTCAGAGGCGGTTACAGAACTTGCTAAAGAGTACAGGGAAACTGGGGAACCAATCACAGACGACAGCACCAACTTGCACAAATTTTCCTATAAGCTGGAGTACCTGCTACAGGTACGACTTTGTTATATTTGTTTGCTTAGCGAAAAAAAATATTTTTCAAATATAAGTATAAATATAAGTATATTGGTTTTTACAAAAGATAAAGAGTTGTAGGTCAAATGATTGATTTTAATAGTTTTATTTGTCTTGTAGTTTGACCAGAAAGAGAAAAGCACATTTCTTGGAACAAAGAAGGATTACTGGGACTACTTTAGTGACTGTCTGGCAAAGATCAAGGGTGCCAATGATGGGGTTCGCTTCGTCAAATCCATCACTGAAGTAGGAATTTTATTGTTGGTATTTAAAGCTACAGAGTTGATGCACTGTAGTATAGGAAAAACAGTAATGCCTACTCACTTCTTAAAACATTTGTAACATAGTAATTCTTTAACAAATAAGTAAGAAGACGTTTTGTCTTTTATAGTGGACCAGAAAAAAAATGAAACAAATAGATTGTCTGATGTTCTATAATTTCTATTGATTTTTTCCCCATATGCTGTGATGTATTCCAACCTGGGATTGGCGACTTGGTGAAACTTGGTGAAACTGAACCAACTAACTGCATGGCTGCAATTACTCAGAATTTCTGTAATGTTGGGGTTCATCTGTGTTGTCATTATTCAAATGAAGAATACATTTTACAGTACTTTTTAAGAAGTTTATGTTGTTTTTATCTCCTTTTTTCTAGTTTGGAGATGATGTAAAAAATATCGTATTAAAAACTGATTATTTTCATATTTACAAAATCAGATTTTATGAACACAAAGCAACAATGACTAAAATAAATATTTTGACTGCTTTTACAGCTGAAGACATCTCTCGGAAAAGGACGTGCCTTTATTCGTTATTCTCTTGTGCATCAGCGACTGGCTGATACACTGCAGCAGTGCCTGATGAACCAAAGAGTCACCAGGTAAACATTTGACCTTTGACATCAATCATCTTTTAGATATTTCTTTTGTATTTAAGTTGTATTTAAATAGAATATAACAATAGGTATTAACTTCTTAATGGTTTTATAAAATCAAAAAAGCTTGTAATGTTGTAATTGTGTGTAGTATTCCATTAAGAAAATATGTCATATTATTTCATGAGATTTTAAAGTATGTTTTAAATCAATGATTCAAAAGAGTCCTCATTTCTATAGATTCTACTGTAAAAAACATAGCCTGCCCTTGTTCATTTTGCCCACAGTGACTGGTACTATGCAAGAAGCCCTTTCGTGAAGTCCCACCTTAGTGCTGACATCATCAATCACCTGTATGAGCTCAATGAGGTGCAGTTTGATGTGGCTTCCAGAGGACATGATCTCGATGCCTCGTGGCCTACTTTTGCCAGGCAAGAACAACTACTAAAAGATCAGCAACTAAACTCTTTGCAGCATGTTATGTTATCATCTTTGAACAGAGCTGGTACTAGATTTTTGTTATGTAGAATTCTAATGTTCTGCCTTGTTCAGTTTCAACAGTTTCAACCAAAACTATATAAGCAACTTTCCTTTTAAATCTCTGGAGACTAGTGACTTCCCACTGATGAGCCACATAATTCAAACAGTGATAAATGATTAAAATGACAAAATTGTGTTCAGTTACACAGACACATGTTTTATACTGGGATGTGGCTTAATGTGTTCTTGCTCTCACATCCTGCTTTGTCATCTGCCATCTTGGCTGTCCCCCTCATTTGGGTTGCATTACTACCAAATCCTGTAGATTTACACAATTTAAGCGGAGCATCCTTGCTACATAATACATTAGTTAAATATTTATGTGTGTGTGTGCGTTTATGTGTGTTTGTGCATGTGGTCAATTTTAATAAACAGGAGGACACTTGCAAATTCACCTGGCCACATGTGGAAACCTCCAAGTCGCAGTTCCAGCATTAACAGTCTGGTCAGCACCTATTCCCAGGTAACATAAATCTGCTCTGATAACATTTTTTATTCAAAATTTTAACTTGAATCATTAATTCTCTCCTCTTTTCCATCCTTCTTTGTCTAGCAAGCGCACGAGTTCCCCTCTAGCCCAGACTATGGTCATAATCTCCTGACCGACCTGAATGAGTCCTTGCCTGTCTGTCCTGAAGACATGAGCACAGTTGACGACCTTCGTCTAGAGCTGGACCAGTCAGAGCTGAAGCAGCAGCAACTCTTAGACAATGTGCAGCAGCTGGGTGAGGAGGCTGCTGAACTCAGGGGCATAGTGGTGGAGCTGCAGAAACAGTTAGATGTCTCACTTGCTGCACAAGAAGAACAGCAAGTTTTGCAGGTAGAAGTCAGAGGGCTGCAGGAGCGGGAACAGTCTCTGTCCAAAGAGGTGGAAAGACTTAATACCAAAGAGAAAGCCATGGAGGATGAACAACGGCTGCTCAAGCAGAGCTTGGCGGCTGCTGATACTAAGAATGTGGAGCTCCTGGCTAAGTTAGATGGGGTACTAAATGAGAAGGGCCAGCAGGCTGCCAGCTACTTTAATTCAGCACAAAAAATACACGAGTTGCTCGACAAATTAAAAGAGGCAGAGAGAGGAAAGATGGAAGCTGTAGCCGAAGCTGAGTCGAAAAAAAGACTGGGGGAAAGGTTAGAGACTGAGCTGAAGTTAAAGGAGGCAGCTGCTAGAGAGGGTGAAACCAAATTAGGAGCATTGGTTACATCTACATCTGAGGAGAAAATGAAGTTGATGGCAAAAGTGGAAGAACAATCCAGTGCCTTGGACAAACTCCAGGGGTCTTTGACACAGAGGGAGAAGGAGGCAAACAACTTACAAAAGCAACTGCGAGATTTACAAAAATCCCTCGAAGAGGCAGAGAAGGAAGTAGAGATGGTGAAAAGAATGGCACAAGAAGATAAAGAGAGAATGCACATGAATGTTAATGATTTAAAAAAGATGCTGGAAGCGGAAGTCTCCTCTTTCAAAGAAGAGGTTGAAAAGAAAGAAGAGGAACTAACTTCTACCTTTGAGACACTACAACAGCTGAGGACCCAGAACCAAAGTTTAAACACAGAAAGAGAGAAGCTGACAAATACTCAGGCAGAGCTGGAAGCTAACGTCAAAGAACTGACTACCAGGATGGAAGAGTGCAAGACACAGTGCACTAATTTAACGGATCTGAATGAGAAGCTGCTGACTACGGTAAGGAAAAATGAGGAGTTGAAGGAGGAAATGGATGAAAACAGAGGAGCACTTGAAGCTGAAGTATCTGCTCTGAGAGCTTCTGAGAAACAACTGCGAGGACAGCTGGATGACACTAAACTGACAGTTGATGAAAAGGAGAAGCTGCTGCGTGAGGAGAACTGTAAGTTGGATGAGAGCTTGCAGCGGGCCACCATGGCAGCCAGCACGGCAGAGAGCACATCGAAGAGGCTTCAG